GATATTTCTCACTGTTAATAAGCTTTTGCAGATTCAGTTGCAATAAATGTTGGTTGACATTGTGATGTAAACTTGTTATTAAATAAAGACTGTTATGTGGCATATACCGTGCATTATTTTCATGGCTGAGATTTTATTTTTTTTTAAAAAACACACATGCTAGCAGTGGTTTGAAGAATTGACTCTTAAGAAACTAGAGCAAATGAACATGGAAGGGAACTTTATACTTGTTGAACACACTTGTAACAGTTAGATTGGAAATAAATCTATTTAGCAATTTTTAAAAAGTAAAGAAAAAAGCAGTGTTTGAAAAGCGAAGATGTTGCTAGTTTGAGCTTCTGCATGCTCCCTTTTATGTTGGCAATATTAAATACTTCTATTCATAAAAATAAGGGCAAGAATGAGGTGAAAGTTGGAATCTGCATATATTAGTGATACATGCATAGCAAAAGGAGAACAGTGAAGGCAACCCACTAATTGCTGCATTATGCAATTGCTCGGAGCTGTGATCAGAACAGGCTTGGAAGGCAGCAGAACTCTCTCAGGCTGGAAGGAAAACTGGGATGGCTAGACATATTAGAAGTGATGCTCACATGGTAAGGGCAAGGATAGATGGCTCACAGGGCACGAGCAGAACAAAAGCTGCATGCTACTCTCCCAAGGGGAATTTTATGGGAATTCACTGCTTGGTAAAGGCTTATTTGTCTTCCAATGCCTCTGGAGGCTGCATCTGAATGGTCTCTGCTTGGGTCTCTCCTTGCATTGCTGAGAATTTATTTCCAGTTATCTATTGATTTTGTGAATGCTTTAATTATACTTCATCACATACTATTGATTTTGTTATATTTGATGTTTGTTTTATGGAAGCATTTGGGGTCATTATGTTTGGGGTCATTGTGACAAAAAATAGCGTAGAAAAAAGAGCAACGAATAAACTGTAAACTACGATGTGTTTTTTTAAAGGACGTCTACAAGACATTAACAAATGTGTATGGACTTGCTTATTATGGTGTTTTTCACATTCTCTGAGACATGCAACAACACAGTACTGGGTCCTTTCATTTAGTCAGTGCAAGTGCTGACTAAATAATGGTTAGAGTGTTGAACTGGAGCCTAGGAAACCAGAATTCAAATCCACACTCAGCCATGAAGTTCACTGCATGACCTTGAGCCAGTCACAGCCTCTCAGCCAAACCTGCCCAACAGGATAATTTTGCAGGTGAAATGAGGTGAAAAACCATGCATGCCACCTTGAGCTTCTTGGAGGTGGTAGTAGTAGTAGTAGTAGTAGTAATAATAATAATAATAATAGTAATTTATTTATACCCCACCCATCTGGCTGGATTTCCCCAGCCACTCTGGGCAACTTCCAGCAGAAAATTAAAATACAACGAGAATATATTTATTTAAATAAATGAATTGCATCCCCACAAAGAGGTCAGAAATTTACATAACACTTGCATGCAATCTTAGAAATGATTGTTACTATTTAAATAGAAGCATCACACATCTCACTATAGTATGGAAGGCGGTGACCAAGACATTTGTTTATCTGCTCAGTCTGCTGTCTGAGTGCTGGCTGTTGATAGGGAATATCAGTACCTCTGATCTCTCTTCCTATGGTTCTTCAACCAGATTTGGGATGGACACTCCTAAATCAGTGATTCCTAATACAGATCCTCATGAGATATTAATATTTAATTCGCAATAGTGGCGGGGGGAGGGGGGATGTAAGCAATTACCAATCCATAAAACAAATAGTTTTGGGTTCTTCTCTAGCCTCTGGTCATTCAGTGTTTTAAAAAATATCTGTCAATTAACTTTGTAAAATCCAATGAACTCTAATACTTTGACTTTCTAAAGGCGTTATAAGAAATCTGGTATCACCATAAGGGCACGTTAGCAGTCTAAAGCACAGCAAGGTCGTTCTCCCCGTCCACTGTGTTGCAAGTTGCATTTGCACATTGATGCATCAGAGGGGGGACGTACAGTATTCATGCCATGCATGTTACTTGTTTAGGTTCCCTACACCTGTAACCCCAGCCTGAACTCAAATGTATGCACTTCGCTTAAGTGCAAAGTAAATGGCGATTCATGTTCTCAAATGGGATGGAAGCTGGTTTGAGGGGAAACAAGCAGCAGTGTTTCTCAAGACACTGCAGGGTAGACATGTCATGTGGCCAGTGTCATACATAGATGACTTCAGACGCCAGTGGTGAAAGTGCAATGGAGCCCGAATAAATGGCAGTGGCTACCCAGCCGAATACATTTATAAATTGGGTGGCATATGCTCTGTCTCTTGCCTCCCTCCCCCCCCCCTATTGGCACTGCAACTTGAAATCCACTTTTGCCCCAGAGCAAAAGGCCTAAGGGCGAGTTGGGTGAAGAGGCCTCTGCTCCTCAGAAGGAGTTTCCAAGGTCTGATCTCCCTGCATTGCTCTACAATCCTATGATTCTCAGAGGATGGACTTCCTTCTCTATTCACGCAGAGGGCAATTTACAATATCCTACGTCACCCACGTATATATATTTATTTCCACATATTATCCTCACTGGTCTCCCACACGCTCCAATAGCATCCAGGTTTGGTAATTTGAGATACCACCTTTTTAATTCTTGGCAAAACTAATTCCTCAGAATGACTTAACTGTCTCAGTCCTCCCCTGCTTCTCATCCACAATACAGGGTGGAAGTTGCTATTTTTGGCAGTACTTTTACTTCTTGCTTGGTCATGAGTCACGCAGTGCATGTCCCAACCTGTAATGATTCCTAGAGTTTTCACACTTATTTATGACAGTATATATATACTTACTGTATTGTCCTTGTGCTTATGATTTATTTATGATAATAAAAGACAGTGGGTATTTTTAAAAGAGAATCTTGAACCATATGCTCGTGGTTTTTAACTGCGACTTGTTAATCTGAAGAAGAGCAACCTCAGAGGAATTTAAAGGTTTCTTTTAATTTCGGTTGCATTTTAAACAGGAGAGCATATTCATTCACATTTTATGTCTGTGCTAATAGGCATTTTGCTGTATTTGCAATAGCCCTAGGCTACAAGCAATAAATATTTATTGGAATGGATTTTTTTTTAAGGCAGCCTGCCAGCATGATTAAATTATCAGTGCAAGAGGCTGTGTGCTATTGCCACCTTGTGGCAGGATTAAGCAGCAGCCCTCTATATATTGTTACAGATCTGGGGTAACAGAGTTTGGGGGTGCAAGGGCACTCATAGCTGCTAGAATTAGTGAATGTTAGAAATTAATAAATGGCAGAATCTACATAATATTTGGAGTATTGAAAGGAAGATGCCAGGCCAGTGAAAAATACTGGCTAACCCTCCCCTTTTAAGTGGAACCTCTCAGACTCTGAGGCATTATCATATATATTATTTTTATTATTTATTTAATTTATATTCCGCCCTATACCCAGGGGCCTCAGTTCACAGAATAAAATCAATATATAAAACCACAAAATACATAATAAAAATAAAAACAACAACCCAATAGCCCCCCCTCCAAAAAAACCCAAACACATTTTAAAAGGGCATAGGATGTAAATCAGATCAACCAAAGGCCTGGTTAAAAAGGAATGTTTTTGCCTGGTGCCTAAAGGTGTTTAATGAAGGTGCCAGGTGAACTGATATACTGATAAGAGTTGTAGTCCAAAACATCTGGATGTCAATCAGTTTGGGGAAAGCTGGATTAGAAAACGTACCAATGTTCTGAGCATTTTAATGACTGATAACTTTTGGGCCTCTTTTCAGTCCACTGCATGGAGAGAGAAGGCAACTGAGCTACAGTGATGGGCAGGATAATAGAGCTACAGTTATGGGCAGGATAATAGACCCCAGACATAGCGTCATAGAACTGTAGAGTTGGAAGGAGCTCTGAGGATCATCTCGTCGAAGCCCCCGCAGTGCAGGAATCTCAACAGTCGCCCCAGCTGACTATTTGGATGGGCCGTCTCTGCATTTATTCAGAGAGGCAACAGCTTGGCGAGATCTTACAAGTTCCTGGACATGTTCCTGTTACGTGTGTCGGCTAAAGTTTGCCATTGTCGACTGCCCCCAAGAGAATGCCTCAGTGAACTGGCTTGAATGCCTCTTCCTCTTTGGAAACACTGAAAACATTTGGCACGGCCAGCCACTTTGTTCTGGACCTTTTGGACACCATCCCGGCTACATGTCTTCTTTTTATGATTCTCCCCAAAGGGACGTGCTTTGTGAAAGAGGTTGTGCAAACCCATCAAACAATGCCATCGTTTTGAAGCCAAGCCCTTGGTGTGCACCAAGAGCATCGTCCGCCTCCACCTTTCCACTGACGTATGGCCACTGAGCCTGGCAGGACTCCAAGCACCATTCTGGCCTTGGCATGTGCCATGTTAGAAATCAGTGGACGATTCTCAGAAAATTGTCGCAGCCTTGAACAGACTGAGATGAAATATCTTATTTATATAGTGGCCTTATGGGCTGAGAGGGAGAAGGGAAGTCAGAATGGTTTCATGCTTCTGGTGCAATGTGAGAAGCAGCCACCTGTGCTTCTTCTGTGTCTTTGTAATGTGTGATTTAATGAGATTTCAATAACAATAAGTTACTGCTACAGTGAGGATTGGACCTGAGTTTCATTGCTTTTCAGAACAATTCATTTCTCAGAAACCTGGCTCTTAAATTAGGATTTTTATCTAGTTTCATTTGAGTTTAAGGTGAAATTAAACATTACACTCAACAAGGCTACTGCTACAAACCGTCATGACTTTGTAATATGAGATATTTAAAAATTCTGATATTGTGTATGTGTGTGTATAAATGTTTTTTGCATTTTCAAAAGAGATGAGCACTGAAAAGACAAGGCAACACTCCTGACTTATATTGTATTGCCCTCCACCTCTCCATTAGGCAGCTTGTGTGCCAATTCAGAATTCGAACAAAAACTCTGAAAAGACAGGGAAGTAAATTAAAAGTTAAAGATAAGTGGGACTATTGAAAGTTATAGAAGTCTATGCTGTGTTCAATAGAGTCATTTTCAGCAAGTAGTTCAGCTGAAGAACTGATGACAAGTCACTTCCATACCCTGGAGAACCAAAGAAGAACTAAATCTTTAGAACTTGAGATCACCTCTTCACGACAAAATGAAGTAAATAATGTTCCCTATACCAAAAATCAAAGGAGAAGCATACCTACTATTAAGTGATTGAAGACATGAAATGAATATGAAGGATTTCTTATCATCTCTGTCCTCCTCTCTCTCTCACACACACACCAATCATGCACACAAACAATTCTCTGAACCAAAATCAGTATTGTCGTTTTCTAGTTGAAATGTTGCTGTTTTAACCCAAACTAACTGCTATGTTTTCTGGAATGGACTTAGTAGGAGTTCCTCTCTGGTCATTTCCAACACAACAACTGCAGTTCATTGTGTTCTTTCTCATCGCTGAATAGAATTTGATGTTCTTAAAAAAAAGTCACCTTCAAGCTGATCATCATGTGAATGAAATAATAAGGATATCAATGGAAGGATCGGAAGCAGCAGATGCACAAGACTCAATGGAAGAATGAACTCATTGTGTTTCAGAAATGAATTACCTGAGTTGTACAAAATTAAATCAAGAAATCCAACCCCCCCTCATTTCACCTCTAGGGAAAACACTGGATGGATATATGTCACCTTTAGGCTTACTGTTCCTCTAAATCCCAGAACATTGTGTTACCTTTCCTTCAATGGCTCTGTAATGGGAGAAGAGAAAGCAAACGAGTTTGTTCATAATACTACTTTGACTCAAAAGTTTATATTTTGACCAAAGGTCAACATGGCTTTGGGGTTTACAGCTTTTTTGTAAGAGGCAGTCTGGTCATCAGGCTGACAGACAGCAGCTTTTTATAACATACCAAGTTTGTATCCCAGGAAATCTTTGTTCTCGGTATTTTTGCTAACTCAGTTACATGGACCAATGTATTATCCCATCTTGACAATCTTGTCATTTATTAGAACATTGCAGGGTTGGTCTACATGCTAGGAGACTACATGACATATTTCAATGCCATTTTTCATCTGCAGACCTCATTTTCATCAATAACGCCTTCAATGAGCTGCCAAAATTGGTCTTAGGCAAGTACAAAAGAAAACAAATACATTAGCAAGGATAGGTTATTGCTATGAAACGATCTTTCTTTCATTTTTGTTGGACATTCTGCCTGTTATAAAAGAAAAACCGAAATTGAGAGAGCTACATAGCTTATATTAGAAATATATTTAATAGCTAGTAGGGGCTGACCCGAGATTGTTTCTTGGCAAACACATATTCCCAGAAGAGTCCCAAAGTGGGGAGCATATGAGGCTTAATCAAGCTGGTACCTTCCAGATGTTTTGGACAACAATTTCTGTCAGCACAACTACAACATCTGGAGAGTTAAATGAAGGCTGCTTTAGATACAAGGAACGTGAAATGGATTGGGGTGGGGGAATATACAGGAGAGAATCTGCAGAAAGGCAGAAGGATGTTTAATCGCTTCCATGCCTGCCAGCTCTCCTTTTTACATGCTCCCCAGGCGCTGCTGTCTCCTTAGCTGGAGTTACTGTTTCCAGCTTGGGGTGGAATTAATTTTAAATGCCCCGAGGAGCACATGCATGAGAGAATCCTGGGCAGGGAATTGAATTCTGGGAGAACATAGAGTTAGGACTGTGCAGGATTGCAGGGCTGCCGCTTTGCCGAGTTCAGAACGACACATTCCCCCTTGACTACACATCTTCAGAGTTCAGTCACAGCTTTGGCTCGGCAAAGCAAGTGTGTCTGTGTGGGAGACCGAGAGAGCTTTCCAGAGGCAAGCTAGCGGCACGAGAGGGACACTTCGTTCTCCTTTCACCTGGCTCTTTTTGTGTCTCTTCCAGTTCCACTCCCACCAGCTCCTGCTTCCTCAGCTCACCTGCCACTCCTCCACTGGAGAACGGCTTTCCATGCCCCAAGGAGAAGTGGCGGCCAGGGAAAGAGCAGTCGGAGTAAGCAACCTGGGCCTGAGATGCACTTCTGATTTGCTCAGGTGCCTGTTCCCTTCTGTGGACAAGCAGCAAAAAGGTGATCAGGTGAGTTGATGGTAAAGGTCATCCAGATTTTAGCTGCCTACCTCCTGAATGAAGATTGGGCAGTGCCTGCTTGTCTCAGAAGCAGTGCAAATAAGCTGCTTCCCTATCAGTGGTAAGCCCACTTTCAGCTGCCACCATCTCTTGCTCCTTATCAGAGATACCTTATACCAGTGGTGGGGAACCTTCCGCCCTCCACAACAGACTCCTATCAGTCCCAGTCAGTCTCCCAGCACAGGAGAAGAAGCATGGCTTGTGGAGAGGTCCAAGGGCCAGATAAAGATGCCTGGATGCATTTGGTCTCCCAGGCCTGAAGTTCCCCATCTTGCCTTAGCAGGAAACAAGCACCAGGCACAGAGAGCGGCAGTTACTGGCCGTGGACTTCACTTGACACAAGCTCTTAAGACAGACTGAGAAACGATGCATTTTAAATACTATTAAAAAAATTAATCATTGAAGTATGTACAAAACAGTCCAGGAGAGCTTCAATTATCTTTCTGGAAAGTTTTAAAACTCATGGTGCCAAGGAATCCTAGGAGGTACATGCCTTGTGACGTCCTGCTCTATAAATAGTTTATATTGCAAGAATGCCTGGGAGTTTTAAAAGGTCAGCATTTCTGAAATTTTGCACATTGCCTTTTGAAGAGAAACCTGGCCTCTTACAATTGCAGTGGTTTTCATGGGATTTCAGGTCCTTTTTATAGTGTCTCATCATGGGACCAGACCCTAAAAACACCTTGTTTTATAATCCTAGGAAAAATTAGAAACTGCTTTGTTCATTTCTGAGAGAAAAACCTGAAGCTTAATCCGGTTAAATATTTTGGGCTGGGAAGCGTTCTGATCTGAGACTTGCAACCTGACCTGGATTGGGTTCCACTAAGTCTGCAGCCTGAGGGTTCTCCTGGACTTGATGCTATCTGTGGATGCGCTGGTTGTATTGGTAACTAGGAGTATTTTTATAACAACGATAATAATAAAAAAAATTGTTTAGGCTGGTTTAAAGGTGATTTGAAGGACTGCTTTCTTCCAATCAAATCCAGCTGGTCCTTAAGTTGCACTGTCAAGGTCAAACAGATTGGTGCGCATTAAAGATGCTACTTTTTCAGAGGCCCTGTACTTTGGAACTCTCTCATAAAGAAGTTTTCACTAGACGTTAAAAACGTATTTGTTTCAAGCTGCACTTCATTAAAAGTTCTGTGAACTGGGCTCTAAACCACTGCTGTATTATTATTTTTTTGTAATTGGATTGTTTCATTTGTATTTTTAAATTTGCTATTTATATTACTTTATTACATTTATATCTCACCTTTCCTCTGAGGAGGTGGCATATATGATTCTTCCGCTCCCCATTTTATCCTTACAGCAACTTGGTGAGTTGGAGGAGGGGGCTATTGGTTTCATTTGTTATTGTTTTTATTATGTATATTGTGTTTTTATCTTGTGCTTTTATGCTGTGAACTGCCCTGAGATCTATGGGTGAAGGGCAGTATACTACTACTGCTGCTGCTGCTGCTGCTACTAGATTAGGCTGAGGGATAGTGACTGGCCCTAACTTGCCAGGTTAATTCCATTGCTGAGTGTGGATTTTAACCCTGGTTTCCCAAGTCATCATCCATTATGCTAACCACTTTACTACACTGGTTCTCCAGCTGTTCTATATTCCTTTATTTAGGCTATAATTTCTGTGCAACTGAAGGCTTTATCTTGTAATTTTGCACAACATTCATGCCATCCATGCATAAATATAGCAGAACTAGCAACTGTGTTTTATTGAAAATGTGCTCCTAGGATGAGATATTTAACCAAACAAGCTCAAGTGGATTAGTGGATCAAATAAGTTCAAGTGGATTCAATCATATTAGGTTCCCTAGTAAATTAATCTGGGTTGTGGTGTCAACATAGAGTGTTATTTTGCTCTCAAATCTATTAAAGAAAAGAAGGAAAGAAATCAGATGCAGATAGCCTTGGAAACAGCTGTAATTAAACTGGAGTTCTAAATAATCAGCTAAGCTGGTAAAGGACTTTGTGTGATGACCAGCCGGGGGGGCGGGGGCGGGGTCCTGCATTTATTGTTCTTTTTAATGTATAGGCTGATCTCTTGAGACAGTCAAACTCAGTATTTAGCAGGCTTTTGTTTTAAACCCACAGTCCCTTGAGAACTGAAAAGGAATCATGCTTGGTTAAATGTGGGAAAATTTAGTAATGCCTGGTTAAAAGCTTTACAGCTGGATTAATGAGTAACCTACACTTTAATTATGCTGCTACTGCTCTCCCACTGTGTTATAGCTTCTTCTTTGCTCCTATAAAGTTCTCCACTCTGTTTAACTTAGTCACTTACAGCCTGAAAATGCCAGTATCCTCGGGCGATCTGCTGTTACTTATGCTTGGGACAGTGTATCTTAGAGAAGGAAGCTCTGCACCAATGTCTAATCAACAAGGTATGGCTATGATTTCGTGCTTGTCTTTAAATGTTTTCTAACGGCATGGATCCATATTACCGCATGATTAATAGATGTTATCTTCGCTCGGAGTGCCTCCAGTCTGATTTGTTTTGCGGGAGATCAGACATTGGCTGTTTAATGAGCATTCATTTTGATCCGTTTGTGTGGAGGTTTGATAACACTTGCATCAACACAATGTCATTTCACATTTTCCAGTGCATTTCCCCCTCGGTTTCCTTACTGCAGAAAGTTCAGTCTTTTGAGGAAGTGGGTTTGTTGTGCAAGACTTTCCAATCCATTATAAGTGTGAAACCTGAATTTGCCCGTGTGATTGAATCCCACTCAAAAATAGCAGCAATCTAGAAGCTTTTTTTTTTTAGTTCTCAATTTCATCCCAGCTGCAGCTCTTCTGCATGGGGTGTAGTGATTTCCCTCCCCTAGTCCAAATTGCCTTGCCTAAGGAGCAAATGGCTATTTATTGACTGACAAAACTGAGAGTTGATTCAGATGCGGATTCAGATGCCCTGTGACAGCAGCTACATGCATAATGTAATGCAAGAAAAGCAGGCCATTGCATGTATAAGTGGTGTCCAAACTTTTTTTCAGAGAGGGCCAGATTTAATGAAGTGAAGGGCCGTGAGGGCCAACCAAAGTTGTTAACCTTTCCTTTAGGATTTAAGTTGTTGAGCTTTTTTTAGACTTTGGACAGGCCTGTATTGTATATGAATTTTTCAGAAGAGTCACCATGTGGAATTCATGCATCAAAACAGTGAAATCACTTGTTTCTTCTTAAACAATAACAAATGTATTATAGTGCATACTTCATTTATGATCCTGGACATAGTCTATTCATGAAACTTTGTATGACAGCAATGCATATATTTTTCTGAACTTTACTTATTCATATATCAGTTTTTATGTTTATGTGATAGATAGAAGCCATAGAGGCAAACAAAAGTGCTGCTGGACCTTTGATAAAGCCAAATCTGTTATAACTTCACAGTGGTTTCTAGCTATAGCAAACTTTTCACTTCCATTTCACTTCTGTGAAGATATTTCACTTCTATTTGGCATGAGAATGTAACTTGTTAACCACTGTGTATATTTCCAAAATAAGCTATGACAAACACACCCCGAAGCCTGGGTTCTCTTTTTTTATTCCCCTGCTGGATAAAGGTAGTCCATCTGAAATCCCAATAAGACCATTTCTATAGAGGTCTGACTGTGCATAGATGTTGCTATGTATGTTAAACATACACATATATCTTGAGCTATTTTTCTTTGCAAAGGTCAACCAGCAGAATGAGAACACAAAGTTTGAGTGCTCTTCTCAAATTTAGAACTTTGAGTGTTGATTGTTTTTGCTAGTAACTTGAGTTTTACTCACTGCATTCATAGTGACTTGCAGTGCAAGCCTTCTCTACTCAGAAGTAAGTTATACTGAGTTCAGTGGGATTACTCTGACATACATAGATGAAGGATAACAGCCTAAGATTAGTAATAATATAAATTATTAGATATTAATGGGAAAACTTCAATTAGTACCATCTGGAAGTGAAAAGTTATTTGGCATCTTATGGAAAAAACTGGAGAATGACATCCAGCTGTCTTGTCCTCCCCCTCCATTTTCTGCACTCTTGTATCTTTTTTTTATGCCTTTCAGATTCCAAGTGTGGGCAGAAAGTGGACGCAAATTCATGGCATCTTTATAGCTATCTCTCTCGGATTGTTGGGGGGACGCAGGTGCAACAAGGTTCTCACCCATGGCAGGTGAGCATATCCCTCCCAGTTACATCTTTGGTCCAAGATCTAAGGTCTCCAGCTCAGCTTTCCTCCACCTGGTGCCCGCTGGATGTCTCAGACTACAGCTCCCATCATCCCTGCCAATTGGCCATACTGACTAGAGCTCATGGGAACTGTAGCCCAAAACATCTGGAAGTCAGTAGACTTTTGCGGAAGGCTGGCCTAGCTTATCATGGAAGTGGGGGGGGGGGACACACCAAAAACTAGGGTATTGCTTGCAGGTGGCAAGAACAATCTCCATTCTCTCTTGGTTGCTGGAAAACGGTTGTGATTCATATATTGCCTACAAAGCAGGAGTGATTTTAAGAAACTGCGACAGGCCTACCATTTGGGAAAATTCAAACAATAGCTTCAAACCCATAAGCAATGGCCTATCTCAGGAAAAGTAATTCATGCCCTCAAAACACCTTTGCCTGGGGTTCCCTGATGAGAAATAGACCTTTATTTCTCTTTCAGAAATCCAACAGGTGGGACAAAGCTTGCCTTTGCCCAAAACGTATTTTGACCTCTTCATGCTTCTAGGGACATACATAGGAAGCTGCCTTAAACTGAGCCAGATGATTGGTCCATTGGTCCAGTATTATCTATGTTGGCAGCAGATCTGCATGGTCTCAGGCGGATCTTTCATATTGCCTAGCTGAAATTTTTTACCTGCAGCTTCCCGGGATTGAACTTGAGTCCTTTTGCATTAAAGTTTGTCCGTGGAAACTGAATTAAAGGTTGCAATCTGAAGTTTGCTTAGTTTTTAATATGTTTTTGTTGTTCAGTCACTTGTTTGCTACCTGGAGCTCCCTTTGGGAAGAAGGGCAAGATATAAATTTAATAAATAAATACTATGAAGCCCCATCGGAAGATATGCTGAGAATACAACCCTAAGCATGTCTACTCAGAAGTAAGACCCATTGAGCTTAATGGTGCTCACACCCAAGTAAACAAGGTCTAGGATTGTAGCCTTAATTTTCAGTGAAAGGGAGTCTGTAAGAGTATATGGTCTACTATTTAAACAGATCTTTCAGATCAAAAATCAGTGGTAAAAGAAGTGTTTCTTTTTAATCAGTGCCCTGTAATATTTGAATTTTGCAGATATACAAGTAGAACATAGGGGGAGACACAACTTAAGTATTTAAACAGATGATAGCCAAGACTGCTTCTCCACATCAGATCTCCAGAAAGAAGCAAAAGCCCCAAAGGCCTTGATCTTTTCCCGCTTCTATGTATGTGTCTTGTAATCTGATTGCCCCAGTATGCTTCTTTTGTTTTCTGTTCTCAACTAGCTTGCTGCCTCCTCCTAGCTAGAGAGGGGACTGAGAATGAGTCACCTTCTGCTTCACCAAGCCTCCTTGGACCATTTATCTGAAGTTTCCTAAAATAAATAAAAAAAAACCCCCACATGCCTGGCAACTTTGACACAGGCTTCTATGGGAATCTCCAACAGTACTTCTGGTTCCAATATTCCACATAATACTTATTTTGTCTCCTTTCCCCTTCCCCTCACTCTTTCTGCTACAGGGAACGACTAAGATATGATGAGCATGAAGGTTAACATGTAAATGTAGACATTCACTGTAACTTAGGGAGAGAGGGAGGGAGAAAAATACTAAGGTGGCAGGATGATTTTAGTACTGTCTACTTATCACTTCTTTGCATGTGAATGTTTGCATTGCAAGACAGATATTGAGAAGCTCTGAAAACTAAGAGTTCTATAGGAGAATGTGATAGTTAGCATTCACTACTGCTGCATATCCCTAGTAATTTGGGGTGTGTGTGTGTGTATGTGTGTGTGTGTGCGTGCATACACCCCCCCCCACTATTTTCAGACATTAGCAAAATTCATTCAGGATTGTAAACATTCAAATGTGAATGCCAACAATCACCATGTTGGGACATGCATGGCGTCTCTTCTGTTTTCTGTCTTGCTTTTGCAGATGCGATAAGAAAAGGTTTGCATTTTCTAATGTGACATGTTCTCTTTATGGCACAGGTTTCCTTGAAACGAAATAATCGTCATTTCTGTGGAGGAACCCTTGTTTCCTCTCAGTGGATAATCACAGCTGCTCACTGCGTTGTAAGCAGGTACAGATAGAGAATTCCATTCTTTTGTAAGCAGGTGCAGATGGGGAATTTCACTTGAAGGCCAAAAATTCCAGGTTGTTGTTTTGTTATATATTTTTCATAGCTTTAAAAAAAATGTGCACTGCACCTGAAAGCAGCTACTGAAGGGCAGTATATAAAGTCATAAAATAAATATAAATGCATAAATGAAATATTTAGGGTTTGGTGCTATGTGATGCTATTTCTGTATTTTGTTTGGCTTTGTTTCAAAAGATGAAAATCAGTTCCGCCCCCTTTTTTTATAATGGTTTTCTACCACTATGCAGATACCTGCTTGGTTCACTGACTGTAACTGCTGGAGAGCATAATTTGCGCCAGAAAGAGCAGGAAGAGCAAACCCTACATGTAAAATCTATCACCAGACACCCAAAATTTAACGTGAAGAAACCAATGGATTATGACATTGCCCTTCTGAGAATGAACGGTCACTTTAAATATGGTAATCTTGTCTACAATTACCTGCCTGTTATAAACATTATTTGTAATACTCAAGGGAAAATAATTTATTATCAGAAAGCATAGGTGAATCACACAGATACAAATTTCATTGCCAGAACTGGTGCCTTTTCATTGCTTTATTCAGGAGAACTCCTAGGACCAAATTGAAGGGGATATTGTGGACTGTGTAGATTAATTTGTTTCTCAAGGCGAGTGTAGTGTGATTGATTTGCCATATGACCAGCTTTACAACTCAACCACTCTCAGCATGCCAGTTGGGCCATGTGACTTGGTCATGAATCAAGCTGTGGCCATTGCCAAATCGGCTGCCAAGAAAAATGTGGCAAATAAAGGAAGTATTGGCATGCCCACCAAGTAATTTCTCACAATCTCTCTCTAGTGTGCTGAACTGAGAGTACAGGAAGCAAAGAGGAGAGAGATCTTGCAAAGCAGGTGTCTCCCCCCCCCCAAAGAACCTTGTTGGATCAAACCACAGAATCTGACATCCTGTTTCTCACAGTGGCCAAGCAAATGCTTCTGGGAAGCCCACAAGCAGAGCTGGAAGACAATAATCATAATGTCAACATGTAAAGCCATGCACTTAAAAGGACTAGCAGGAGGCTGTTTCCCCACTCCATACAATACAATTCAGACAAACACAAACGGTAATAAAAAAATATTGAGGTCTTTAAAAAACAACAGCAGCAGCAGCAGCTGGTACAGTGATCTTCTCAAGGAGGCAGTTTCACAGATGTACTCTGTGAGATTTACTTCTGAGTAGTTCTAAATAGGATGCGGGTGGCACTGTGGTCTAAACCACTGAGCCTCTTGGGCTTGCTGATCAGAAGGCCGGTGGTTCAAATCCCCACAATGGGGTGAGCTCCTGTTGCTCAGTCCCAGCTCCTGCCAACCTAGCAGTTCGAAAGCACATCTGGCGTGAAGGTAAACAGCGCTTCCATGCACTGCTCTGGTTTTGGTGTTCCGTTGCGCCAGAAGCAGCTTAGTCATGCTGATCACATGACCCGGAAAAACTGTCTGCGGACAAACGCCGGCTCCCTCTGCCTGTAAAGCGAGATGAGCGCCGCAACCCCACAGTCCTCTGTGATTGGACTTAACTGTCAGGGGTCCTTTACCTTTACCTTTTTATTTCTAAATATGATTGCTCTGCATAGCCCATCTCCCCTTCTCTGTCTCTCTCACTGGGATGAACAAGACAACCTCTCCTTTGATAGCTGTGTAGATAATGTCCCGTGCTTGGCCTGGATGTGAGTGTGTGTAGTAACCTCTGGCTTTGGGGTGATTAGAATGTAGCCTACTGTACAATGTTTTCTTATACTTGCTCTGAAAGATTAGCGAGGCAGGACTTAGCTTTGCAGAAGCCATGCTGATCCTTCTTCAGCGAGACTTGATCTTCTATGTCCTTGATAATTGTGTTTTTTCCACCCATTTAACCGGTGGATTCAGAGCATAGCTCCCACTGCAAGGGCTGCAAAGGTCTAGTAACTACTGTTTGTGTCCTGAATCCCTGGAGAGAGCACCACCAGTCACTGTAGACAATATTAAAACTGTGTTACACGCAATACCTTTAAAATTCTTTCCCTCAAATAATTCTGGGCATTCACAAGTTACAATTCCCAACAGCACTTGACTAATGACAGTGCCCAGAATTCTTGGGTGGGGGGCAGGAAATGCACTATGGATGTGCTTTAAAGTCACACACAGCCAGAAGCTAGATAAACCAGTAGAATAATGTGGTATAAGGCAATTTTCTAAGCAAAGTGGGGTCACATCATGGGGAAATGGCTCACACACTGCTGTATGGGACTGGGACTTGAGAGATGTGGGGATCTTGCAGTAATCTTTATGGTCCTATAGAACTGTATTTTTTTGTGGCTTGTTTATGGATGAGAGAAAGAAAGGGCTTGTATTCAGGTTTTTCTGAGTTACACACATTTGAGAAGCACACAAAACCAAAAAGTTTAACAGTTTGTGTGATGTTGCTTTTAATTTGGAGCTCAAAAGGGTTGGGACTTAAATTAACATTATTCTAATATGTCACACATTAATATTCCAGTATGCCACTGTGTTCATGGCAGGTTCAACAGTTGGGCCAGTATGTCTTCCTGAACCCAATGAAACGTTCGATCCAGGATATATATGTGTCACTTCTGGCTGGGGTCGCCTAAGAGAAAGTAAGCCTAAGCTATTATTTTTGGAAGCACGGCCATATCAAAGCAGCTGTGTAAATTTTTTTGATGCGAGTTGATGTTTTGTGATTCATCCCTTTGCAACACAATCCCTAATTGGTTAAGACTTCCCATATGCTGAAACAAAGATACAATAATAAATGAGAAGGGGGGGGGAGTGGTTTTGAAGCTGTTACAGCAGAGAAGAGAGAAGCAATGACAGACTGAAGAGGCTCAAGAAAGGTGACCCTTCTCACAATTAAGGAGCTTTGGGGAAACATTTCTCCTTCCAGTGTACAACTTTCAACTCCAGACTGATGTCATTACTAAAGCTTCTTAGTGAGCAAATACTGGATACTGCTGTAAAGAGATATTCAGAAGCCTGTGCTTATTTTTGGAAGGACATAACTATATCCCCCCCCCCCGCTGCAATGTCCAATGACCTCACACTGAATATTCCAAAATTCGCCTTGGCTCTACTTCCTGTAGTGTCACTTGGCATATTTTTCTGTGGCAGCCACATTGAATGAATGGCTGAAAAAATTATTGTCTCCCTCGCTCCAATGAACTGTTCCTCCACCAACACTATTCGCTGTCTGCCTTGGGCATTTTGTGGAAAGGATCGTATCTTGGTTACAAAGCACCTGCTTGTCATGCAGAAGGTCTTCCAAGTTCTAGCCCTGGCATCACCAGTTAAAAGAAATGAAAGGTGGGGCAATAGGTGATGGGGAAGACCTTTGTCTGAGGTGCTGGAGAGCTGCTGTCAGAATAAATGGACCAATAGTGTAACTTGCTATAAAACTGTTTCCTTCGGTGTGCTTGTTTTCTAGATGGTATCCTCCCTGAAGTCCTGCATGAAGTGGAGTTGCCCATCCTAGACCACAGCGAATGTTCTAGAGCATTGTCAACTTTAAAGAAACCTGTTCGGGGTGACACTCTAATGTGTGCTGGGTTTCCAGATGGCGGAAAGGATGCCTGCCAGGTTGGTAAAATGAAGAGCCTTTTCTTCCCATCTACCTGCCTGCCTTTCTGTCTCTGTGATGGGGCGGGGGAACTTTCCAGGAGGAAGAACAGAGCAAAGAGATGAAGCTCATACTTTTCATGCAGAAGATCCCAGGTTCCACTCTCAACACCCGCTGTTAGACTCCTTTTCATGAAGCAGCAGTCCGTCACAAGCACTTCAGGCCCAAAATATTTTGCTGCCTGAAGCGAAACTCAAATGGTGTCCCATCCCACTGGTACAGCCAATGCTATGAAAACATCTGTAGCGTTCAGACATAAATTCTTGCCTTCCTCTGTTCCTGTTCCCCATCCTCATAGCTTTGCCTTAAACAGATCACGTCAAACTGCCCCATGGCAGGGGCAGTCCTGTCCATTGGACAACTGCAGGGTGTACTTTTGAAGGATCTCTTAAAATACTCGCATGCAGTGCTTTATATATGTCTCATTTGGATCTGTTTATTTTCCCTGCAGGGTGACTCTGGGGGATCTCTGGTGTGCATGCGTGAGCATGGTTCTTGGACCCTGGTTGGGGTGACCTCATGGGGCTATGGGTGTGCTCGCGGCTGGATGCAAAACCTAAAAAAAAAGTATAACAGAAGAGGAACACCAGGAGTTTTTACAGACCTTACCAAGGTGCTCCCTTGGATTCAGCAACATATCGACACCGGTAGTCAATATTAATCACCTTCTGCCTAATTCACATATTAAGGCGTGTATCCAGCAAAGTTTTACCATTTGCACAAGGATTATCACTTCTGCAGTGGAAGCCCCTTTCCTTCTCCTCTTCCTGCATCTCCCTGAAATCTACTGCAGAAGGTTAGAGAAAGCCCCAGGACCATTTGGGGGAGGGGGGAGGAAAGGGAATGGAAGTTCCATTGCACAAATGGAAGTCCTTGCGTGAACAGGATTAATTTGTCGGCAACAACCCTAAATCTTTTCTTCAACGCTGCCAACCCGACAGAAAAACATAACCTGTTAGGGTGATATGGGGAAGTTGATTATTCTGTAAAGCTAATAATTGCAGCTTTGACTGGGTTGTATGGCAGATAATACAGTCCCTTATGTTTTTATATATGCTGGAAGCTGCCCAGAATGACTGGGGCAACCCTATCAGATGGGCAGGGTACAAATAATAAAATTATTACAAATTATTATTATCAGTTTGATTTCAGCAGCTTTACTGTCATGACAGCTGCTGTGAATTCCACTTAGAACTGTTCCAATACAGTTGTTAGGACAGGCTTCCTCAAACTTGGTCCTCCAGCTGTTTTTGGTCTACAACTCCCATGATCCCTAGCTAGCAGGACCAGTTGTCAGGGATGATGGGAGTTGTAGTCTCAAAACATCTGGAGGGCCGAGTTTGAGGAAGCCTGCTTAGGACATCCTTGTTATATGGAGTCAGGCCCAAAGGGTGCAATGGATGTTTGGTTGTTACAAATTCATTATTACATTTCTGATTTGCCATAACATTAATAGTTCTTCACTAGGATATTTCTCTTTTCCTTTTTAATTAGATATCAGAATGAAAAGCTCTACAGGTGAGTATAATGTGCTGGAAAACGCCTTCCTGAACTAAGTATGTACTGGCAGAGTCCAAGATTTCTTGTGTATGATTAAAAAGTATGGATTAGAGATGATTATTTTCGTAATGCTTAGTTTTGTCTGTCTTTGCACTGCATATCTGTTAGACCAATAAATCTTGATATCTTCATATCCACATCACAGCATCATGCAGTGTGCAAGATGGCAAACTCCCTGGTAATGAAGGACGGCTTGTTTTCCCTGATCATCCTAAGCATTTTTACCAGGACAACCAGTGAGTAGCTGAAGTCCCTTTTCAGAAACTGTACCTGGTATCATGCACCTGTGCTTTACTGATTGCCAACTAGAATTCAGTCCTTGTGCATCAATCCAGGTTGTGCGTTTGGACTCTGCTCGTCCCAGAAGGAATGCATATACTGCTGAATTTTACCCGCTTTGATGTGGAATCCGATATGTACTGTGACTATGATGCCTTGTCAGTGATTTCTAAGGACGATAGGCTCCTTGGTGAGTGTCTTCTTCAAAATATATAAGGCACCAGGCTGCACTTTTTCCCAAATGAAAAGCAGGTGGTTCTTGTATAGTTGAAAAGTTGGATATGATATCAAAATTTGGTGCCAGCACATGCCGTACTGAAGTGAACACATGATGTGCATTAATGACCTGTCCAAACAGGAATTTCACCTATGGGAACTTTGTGGCATGGACACAAAAATCACCCCTATTTTCCTCTGAAGTCTTGGCTACCATAGTAGTGTTTTGCTTCCCAGTATGCCTGACACTGAGTGAGGCCACCCATGCCCAACAGCCATGGGGAGGGTATAAATATAGAGGAGTTGCTTTTTGCTTTCCCTCATTGATGTTGGAGGGCCCTCACCCACATTGACTGAACTCACTTTCACGTTGACAAAAGTTGCAGTTGAAAATGGTGCGTGACCAGCTGAGCAGAGGATAATGAAGACAGGAAAGAGTTATCCACCTATCTCATCTGCCTTGCCCACATTCTTGCTTGAGATGGCCCGATCCTGACCTTGCTTTTCCTTTCTGAAGGGATTTTGGAATTTCATGTGTAATGATGCTCCAGACAGTTAGACAGAGCTGAGTATTCAGAGGTGTTTTGGGGGGCAGACACCCAAAACAAGCTTTGCTGCTAAGATGCCCGCAATGAACACAGCTGAAATCTGGATACAAATGCTAGGTCGAGCCTGACGTATATTAAAGCATTTTTGGGTTGACTCTTCTCCTTCTGGATCTTATATAGCCACCAGGTTACACATTGTTGTTGTAAATTAAACTGAATCAGTGGTGTGTGGTGACATTTTTTTGAAAGGGAACAGTTAGGGCCAGAGGGGCCAGCTTGCAAAGGTGACAGGGGGCAGGGGGATATTGCGTGTGGGATGCCCCAACATCCTGACATTGTGCAAGCATTGTGATTCCCTCCCTAACCTGGACAGAAGCATCCCAGGCTTTGGGAAGGAGGTGCCAGTGCTCTGACAGTATGCTGGAGCTCTCCTGCCTTCTTCCCCAAGCTGGGTGGGCTTTGGGAAGATGGCAGAGGCGGACTCTTGAACTCATCGGAGCATTGTACCTCTCTCCCTAAGCCAGACAGAAGCTTCCTGGATTTTAGGAAGGAGGCCCCAGGGGAACATTTAGGGGACTAGTCTTCCTAGTCCACTGATCACACACCACTGGATTGAATACTATGGTCCTAAGCATACCTATTCAGAAGCAGGTTCTTCTCACATTAGCAGAACCACTCAGTAAATATTAGGAAAATTACACTGATAAAATTAATGTCTTTCAGGGAAATTCTGTGGCAAGGAGCCCCCGTTACCGATTTTGGTTGGTTCCAATAGCCTAAGGCTAAAATTTGTATCTGATAACAAAGAACATGGATCTGGGTTCTCTATGATATACCAAACTATTGAGCCAGCTTCTCTTCAAGGTAAGTATTGATAATTTCTAATAATATATGAGAGGCCAAGGAGGCTTCACAACATATATGGATTACAGGCACTAGATCTGTTACTTTATTGATTGTGATACTTTTTTTGTACCTTACCAGTCCTTACATGAGAGTGCTCTAGGGAGATTCTATGATTTGTAGCTTTAGCAGTCATTGGTCGAGATGCAATTAGAAGGGTTTGATGGTCGAGATGCAATACAGAAGGGTTTGATGGTGAAGAACTGAGCAGTTGCACAATTATTAATATAAGTGGACCACGAGTCCTTTACAGACTTAGCTCTGAAGACCTCTGGAGGAAAAAATGACTCTATAACAGGTAGATCACTGAATGTCTTTGGTAGATCACTGGCTCATCCCAAAGAAGCTCAACAAGTTTGGCTCCCCTAAAGAAAGCTCAACATTTATTGTCCTGCACCCAAAAAATCCAGGGCTTTCCTCTTCCCTAAAAGAAGCTCAACAACTTTGACCTGAACCCCTAAAAAAGGGGGTAGATCACTGCCAGTCTTTAACTCTGTGAGTAGATTGCAGTCTCTTGGGAGTTGGCCACCCCTGCTCTATAAGAATCAAGGGCAAACATAACCCAACCATCTACCTATTCTTCAAATACCCACATTTAGAAAGTTCCCTTATTACAAAATTGACTCTTGGAAGTCCATTGAAGAAATCCTTTAATAATAAATAAAACAACCACCACCTTATATTTTACTATAAGCATAATGAGCCCACAAAAGCTTTCAATGGTTTAGTTTGCTAAGGGACTATTTAAATTGTCTCACTTTACTTTTGCTTCACTGTCTTTCTAGACTCTGGCTGTGGATCAATTGCCATACTCTTTGAGGAAGGAACAATACAAAGCATGCACTACCCCGAGGCTTACAATAATCTGGCAGATTGTCAATGGATTGTTCAAGCTCCAGAAAACCACGTGGTCAAGGTACAAAGCAGGGCTGATTTACTGGCATCAGCACAAAGGGTTTCCTCTGAACACCATAAGTTTGATTCCAACCTTCACAAGCGATGTAACATTTCGCTCATGAGGCTGCCTTATTTTGGTGCTGTTTTATTATTAGTTAACATATAATATCTTGCATTGGGATATCATTTAAATGCAGTGGGTAGTATTCAACTAGGTTTTACTCAGGGTAAAACTTCATGTACATAGACCTCCTCTAAGTAAATCTTAGTTGAATACCACGGTGTGTGGATTCTTTCTTTCTTTCTTTCTTTCTTTCTTTCTTTCTTTCTTTCTTTCTTGTTTCAGTGTCTTTTGAACCTGTCTTTCTTCAAACTCATTCATACATTTTGGGTGTAGTTTTATGTGACACTGACACTTTTGCTATATTTGTGTAATATAGGGGTGTAGGTTGTATGTGATGCTGTTTCCTCTGTTTACATTCTTGTGGTAAATCAATAATTCATTCCCAAATATGAATTTCAGACACTAGAAAATGAAGTATACTCTTTTTCTTTCTGGCAGCAACCATCTCCAGCTTTTTCATCACATTCTTCTACAAATGTCGTCGTAGACCAGTACCCCAATATAATTTGCATTTCTAAAATGTTGGGGTGTACTCTGCTCCCAAGTATTAATGTCTTATCTGTTAATACTCCCCAGTATTCACGTTATATCTGTACGTCTTATTGGAGGCCTCCAGTGACTACAATGACGTTTGACCTTGGGGCCCCAGAGGTTGCTACCCACATTTTGATACATGCAAGCATTGTAGACTACAGTCAAGCATAAACTGTGGATCTGCTTTGATTTGTAAATTATAATAAATTATAATGTTTGCATTTGGGGATGTGCAGAGAAATCCTATGCATGTTTATTCTGAAGTAAGCCTCCATGTGCATCTGAAGCATCTGAAGTGTGCTCCATGTGCACATTTATTCCAGCCTTTATTGCAGCATTAATCTATGCCTTGTTTAAATAGTATTTTCTTACTTGCCATAGGCAGGGCAGCAATTTAGTTTCCTTGGTAACACTGCTGAATGATCTATGGCCAATAAGAAAACTATCTGAAACTAAACCTCTTTGTGTTTGATGAACTTCAGGGGTTTTTTTTTCTCTGTTGGTTTTGTTTTGTTTTGTTTTGTTTTGTTTTCAAAGCTCACATATGAAAATTTTGAACTGGAGGAAAATGAAGGCTGCACTTATGACTCAGTGACAGTGTATGAAAATATTGCAAAGGATAATGAAATAGGTTTGTTTTTTATACTTATTTCTAATGCTGTGCACTAAATGAGATTTGAGTCCATTGCCAGGATTCCTTTCTTCCCAGTTGGGTTTCAGTACCCAAAATAAGTTCAATTGGGGGGAAAGTAGTGGGTGGCGTGGCAACGCTGCAAGAAATGGATTCGTTTCACTACACACCATGTACACACCTGGTTCTTAGAACTGGCCCCCATCCCTACTTCAAGTGAGCAAGTCTTCTGCAAGTGATTGGGGTAGGCTGCACTTTTAAACAAGGGGATCAGTTGCTATCACATGTAGTCACACTGTTTTTCAGTATTCGGCTAATCTTGCATTACACACACACACACACGATAGCATAATTACAACTCACAGGGAAACCTCTAATCAGCATCTGAAACTGTCCATTATACTTTTTCACTCTACAAATTCCTTTAATTTATATCAAGGAAATAGTAGCAGTGACCTAACACACAGGGTGTAATACAACACTGAGCAAGCATTTTAGTGCAAGCATTTCTGCTTAATACACAGAGCACTTTCCCCCTCCTCCCCTGCCTCTCCTCCTGTTATGGGGGTTCTCCCAACCCCCCTGAGCAGATCTGTGGAGGGTGCAGGGGAGAAGCCCTGTTTTACTAGTGGAACTCATTGCACTGACTTTCAATGGTGCATCAGTTTAATGGTATCTGACCCAATGTTCATATAAAGAGTTTGTCAGCACAGAGGATGCCAATTTTTTTACGACACCCGTTTGATTTAATGTTTTGTATGCTGAGATGCAGGGAAGTTGTTTCTGTTCTGCTGTGAACCTTACCACTTACCTTCTTTAGCTCGATCCTGTGGATTTGCTGTCCCAGCACCAGTTGTCAGTTCCTCTAGTACCATGCTGGTCAAGTTTCATTCAGATGAGACAGAGACGTTTGGTGGATTCAAAGCCAGATTTTTGTTCATCTCTGTTGCAGGTAATGGAAAATGGAGGATTATTCTAGCCCTAGAAGAAAGTTGATTTGAGGAATTCTGACAATGACTCTCCCCTCTTTCTTTTTGAAACTAGATCTAAACATATCAAATTCGAGCAGTGAAGTAATGCTTCCGGAGGAAATAAGTGATGCCTCAAATGAAACTGACATTCCTGGTAAATCATCTTCTGTGAAGGTATCCTTTGGTAGGAGAAGGGAAAGGGCAAAATGAACGTAGAGAGGAGTCCAGGGTTTGGTTTATAGATATTCTATATAGATATTCTATAGGTATTCTAGATACTCTATAAATTCTACATACACACCAAGTTTGGCTGGAAAATGTGTTTTCCTAATAAGGAAATTTCCTAAATCCAAAATATATTGCAGACTTCACTGCCTCCATTGCATCCTCTACTAGCCAACTAGCGGAGCTCCTCCAAATGGTTCAGAGGTTCCTGGTGCCTGAGAGAGTTTCCTTGGAGCCCTCTGTGGCCCACTGTTTATAAGACATTTTGAGGGTAAAGTTGTATGACTCTGTAGCGATATTGATCCCACAGTTCATGCAGAACAAGCGTGAATCTTGATCATGCTCAATCTGGATCATGGTAAACAAAACCTAGCCAGCAGGGCACCTTTGGGCAGCTTCAGGGCGTGGTGAAAGGGGTAGCGCTTGAAATAGTCATTGGTCAATTTCTAATACACCGATTCTTGGGAAGGTGACTGAGAAGGTTGTGGTAGAACAGCTGCAGGCATTCTTGGATGAAATGAGTTACCCTGACCAATTTCAGTCTGGCTGGCCTGGTTTAGAGGTCAAATCAGCCTAGCTTGCCCGGATAAATGACCTCCACTGCGAGAAAAACAAGGAGAGTCTAATTATTTTGCTTCATCTCAGTGTGGCTTGTGATACCATCGGCCATGGTGTCCTCCCAGACCAGCTCTGTGAAACTGGTGTCAGGGTAGTTTATGGTAGTTCTGATCCTACCTGCAGGGTCGGTTCCATAGAGTCACCCTGGAGCATTTATGCTATGGAATGCTGCAGGACCCTATCTTATCACAGAGTTAAATAACATCTATATGAAGACAACTGGAAAGATCATTGTGGGGATATGGAGCAAAGTATTATTAGTATGCTGACGATGCATCACTCTGTCTATCCATAATGTCTGAACTTGGAGTGGACATGCAGGCTCTGGACCAGTATCTGACCACAGCTGCGGGCTGGATGAGGGCCAGTGAACTGAGTTTAACTCCTGGCAAAACAGGTGGCCTTGGTGGCTAAGGGTACCTTTTGCCAGCTTTGGTTGGTTAGGCAGCTGCAGCTGTTCCTGGACTGAGATGGCTTGGCCACTGTGACGTTGGATTACTGCAGGATGCTCTGTTCTGTGATTCCTTTTGACTTAACCTAGAAGCTGCTGCTGGCTCAGAATGCAGTAGCTAAATTGTGTTACCCCATTGACACAATGTAATGCTTCTGCTAAAGGAGATGTGCTGGCTGCCAATATGCTACCAGGAACCATTCACATTTTGCTTTGATCATTTAAAGCCCTAAAAAACTTGGCACCACCATAAAGTCTTGTCCGCAGTATCCCTCCCTGGCAACTGCGCTCCTCAGATGGAGCATTGCTGAGAATACCACATGCCCCAGAGATGCACTTACCCTGAACTAGAAATTGGGCTTTTAGTGTTGCAGCTCCAGCTCTCTGGAATCAATTACCAGCTGAAATCAGACAGGCACCTCATGTGATGATGTTTAGGTGCCTACGGAAGACATTTTGGTTTAGGAAGGCTTTCCCCGAGGTGCATCCCAGTCATTTTATGGAAGATCAGTTTTATATCTGATGAACTTGTTCTGTTTTTCAAATTTGTATGGATAGCCTGACTGTTTTAGAGTTGAAATAAACCTAAAAATAAAAATGCCCAATAGCACCTTATAGACCAACTAAGTTTGTTCTGGTATAAGCTTTCATGTGCATGCACACTTCTTCAGATACATGCACACGAAAGCTTATACCAGAACAAACTTAGTTGGTCTATAAGGTGCTACTGGACAATTGTTTATTTTTATTTCTACTACGTCAGACCAACACAGAGTTGGTTTAACTGATTTTATTGTTCTTGGGATGTGTGATCCTGTGTTTAATTCTGTTTTTACTGAGTACATTGATGGGTTTATTTTGCAAAGTGGTCTGTAAATTCAACAGTTGTTGCTGTTACTATGTTAGTGTAAGACATGGGTAGGCAAACTAAGGCCCAGGGGCTGGATCTGGCCCAATTGCCTTCTAAATCCAGCCCGTGAACGGTCTGGGAATCAGCATGTTTTTACATGAGTAGAATGTGTCCTTCTATTTAAAATGCATCTCTGGGTTATTTGTGGGGCATAGGAATTCGTTCATTATTTTTTTTCAAAATATAGTCCGGCCTCCCACAAGGTCTGAGGGATAGTGGACCGGCCCCCGGCTGAAAAAGTTTGCTGACCCCAGTTGTAAGACTAAGCAGGCTGCTAAGATCAGCAAATGTAAACTTGCCTGGGATAGCTGCTCCTTCCCACCAGTAGTGGCTCCTGGAACCAAAAGAGAGAGAGAGAGATGGCAAGGCTCCCTCCTCCACCATCACCATGCTGTGGCTGCTGGTTGTCTGTCCTGGCCAATGAACTGCTTCATTAGCCACTGCTGAAAGGCCATCCTATAATTTGCCTGCAAGTCCTACTAAATCCAGTGAGACTTTCAAATTAAATAGAAGCTGCCTCTGTAGAATCAGCCAAATGTGGGCAGCTTTTTCCTCCCCCCCCCTTTTAAAAAAACTATTTTTATTAAAGATTTTATCGGTTTACAAAAGTACGTGCATTGTGTCTTTTTCAGGTTGCAAAGTCTTTTCTACAGATCTTGTACATTTGAGTGTTGTATACAGTATAAAGTTGGGGAAGAAAAGAAGGGAGAGAGGAGGAGTGGTGAGACTTATATGTGGGCAGCTTTATTCCGTAATAGGCACAAGTTGCTTTGTTTTGTTTTTGCAATGTGCAATAGCTTCTCCTCTTTTCTGTGTTGCCAGCTGACATTTGTGGAGTAGCATTCAACCAGCCCAGGTTTCTTTTCAGTCGGATAGTTGGAGGCGAAGAAGCTGTACCATATTCTTGGCCTTGGCAGGCAAGCATACAGATTTTGGGAGAAAACATCTGCGGAGGGGCAGTTCTTACAAGCACATGGGTGGTGACTGCTGCTCACTGTTTTAAAGGGATGTAAGTACTATGTTATGGCTTAGCAATAATAGTTCACAGCGCCTGAACAGTTTGGAAAGCACATTAACAAATGCATTATTTAGAGTGTCGTCCTATGAATGTCTACTTATGACTACATATTGATAAGTGTGTATAACATCCTTTGCCAGCCTGCTGAAGATTTAGACGACTGTGCTGGCTGGGGTGATGGGAGTAATCCACCTGGAAGGCATTAGCTGAAGACTGGTATATAGGATTGCATGGTTAGAGTGCAATTCTGTGCATGTCTATGCAGAAGATGCCCTGCTTGAAAACAGGGGCTGCTGCCTCCTATGGATTTTTTAAAAATATGTCACTATCTCCCATAACATGAACTCCCAACCCCCATTTTCCACCATACTAGAAGAATTCGAAGAAGGTAACACCCCAGAAGTTCTGAAGACTAGTCATCACACTCAGAGTAACTAGGGATAGCAAAACATGCAGATAAATGAAAACGTGTGTAGGTTTGGCAAGCTCTTGGCAGACTACATACCAAATTGCAAGAGACTGAAGGATTTATATTCCTCTGGTACCCACAAAAAATGTGGGTATCTACTCAGAAGTAAGTCCTGCTTTATTTAGGCTTCAGCACAAATCAAATTTGTTCCTATTCTGTGTGTATTCGGAATCCCTGTGTGGATGGGAGTAACATATTATCATGCTTGAATGAAAATGTGTGGTACACACTGTTGGAAGAAACTTCTGGGTTTGTTTTTAACCAATTACATTCTCTGCAAAGGGGAAAATACAGAGATTTTTGGAGTGTGGTTGCTGGAGCTCACGACATCGGAGAACAAGAGCATAATAGTCAGGTTAGTACAAGTTATTCTGTATTTATGGAAGGAACATGTCCTTATACCGCAACATGCACAAATAATTCTACTCCTCCCCCAAGACTGTGGGAGCAAAACGAAAAAGAGTTTTACATGAAGTGTATTTTCAAATACCTCTATCTATCTATCTATCTATCTATCTATCTATCTATCTATCATCATGATGGACTTTATAGTGAAATAGGTTACTACCAGTATGCATGTTGTTCTATGACTGCCAATCACAAAAAGAAAACTTCTCTTTCTGAAACAGTGATTGCGCTATACTCAATCATTCTGAGTCCAGACAATTGCATAAACCACCTGAAATGTGTTTGTAAAAATTGTTTTTATTGAGGATTTTCTTGGGTTACAATAGTACAAGCATTGTCTCTACTTTCATATCATAAAGTCCTTTCTAAAACTGGTTTTGTTTTATGTGACACTTTAATGTTGTATACAGTATAAGGTTGGGGGGAAAGGGTGGGGAGAGGAGTAGAGCAGTCTTTGAGCTGCTGACATCTTCCCATGTATCATCCTGCTGTGCTTTCCTATTTCCAGAAAAGATTGGTCAAACAATACATTCTGCATCCAGATTTTAACACCACGACTACAGATTCAGACATTGCACTGGTGGAACTCACTGAGCCTTTAGAATTCAATCATTATGTTCGTCCTGTGTGTCTACCTGAGAAAGATGAAAAGGTTGAGGCTTCCAGGGTGTGTGTCATTACAGGTTGGGGCATTCATTATGAAGGTGAGTGCATTTTCCTTTCAGTAAGAATTTTGTGTTCATCTATTAGCCAGAATGATTGCTAGCCATTCCTTTTTCATTAGGGACTAGTGGAGAAGAGGGGTTCATGAGCTGAAAATGTGGACTGCAAAAGAATTAAGTTCACATTTAAGGAGCTTATATCTGAATCTTAGTTTTTGCTGAGTGTGCTCTTTTTAACCCCTCAAGATGGAGAACTTTCAAGAAAACTCCATCAACTTGAAGTTCCTATTTTGGTTTCTGAAGAATGTCAGAAATACTATATGAACCATCCGGGTGGTCTGAACAAGCGGATGTTCTGTGCCGGATTTCCTACTGAAGGAGGAAAGGATGCGTGTACAGTAAGCAGTCAGAGTAAATGTATTCTATTCAACCAGGAATTAACAAGGTCTGTGCAATAATTCTGCAAACACCCAGCAAAACAGGGACCCATAACTTTATTAGAGCCAAGGCAGAGCTTCTTCTGGTTCTTGTGTAGCCATAACTACCAAGGACTAAAACACAGAGTGGAAAATGAAACTGGGGTAGGCAAATTTACCCCATGAGAGGTCTTCTAATTAATTAATGTCATGGTAGAAGCTGAGATGTAATATCTGTTCTTCTAAGATCTCGTAAGCATGTTTGATTTTTGCACGTGCAAAGCCATGAGTGAGAAAGCTGTTGAACAAGGACAGTGGATATTAATCACTATCTCATGGGTCACGAAGAGTCGGACATGACTAAACAACATGATTTCTCCTGCTAGTGGCCTCTCCATTTCCACCTCCCGTGGTTCCTTCACTTACCCACTTTTTTAAAAACAAAGTTTTGCTGTTACCTTAGCGGCAATGACATTGCCATGCTCTGCTTCATTCTGAGGAAGAGGGCCCTTCTTCAGAGTGAGGTGTGGTGAGGAGTGAGGCAGTCAGGAAAGCATCACTTTGCTGCAGCATCTAGTCTATAACTGCTTGAGGGTCTCATATGAATGAATGTCAGTGGAACTGTTTTGTTGGCAGGAAACCTCATCTGAAATATTATTATTTTTGGTCACAATTCCTTCTCCCTTACTCTGCAATAGTGTCTCTTACCATAACCATCCAGAAACAGAGCTCTATAGATTGCTATCTTTCACTCTGTTGAGTACCTACTTGCTGTCATACCTGTGTGCTGGCAAATGATAAAAGAATGAGCAGCTTAAAGCTGGCAACAGTGGTGGTTGCAGGAGACAGGCGCTGCATTCATTTCTTTGTTGCTAGCTTCAGCCTACAGTCTGAAGGTAAGGACACGAATAGCAATACCCCTTAATATTTAGCAAATGCAGAATGTGTAAACTGAGGTCACACTGATGGCTCTTGAAAGTATCTTTCCTCGTCAACTTACAAATAGGTATACATTAACTTTAAGCTCTATTCATTTTTATTAGGGTGATTCAGGAGGTCCACTGGTTTGTCCATCAGAAGAGTCAAGCTACTACACCCTTAATGGAATAATAAGCTGGGGACATGGTTGTGGAAGAACTGGCTATCCAGGAGTTTATACGAATGTTGCGTCTTTCACCAGTTGGATTGGTCATCACATATATGGAACCAGTAGGCATCTGTGTTTATTTTAACAACAGCATCCAATCTGGAGGGACGCTTTCTAAGAAGGAATGTCCAGTATGCTCCCACAGACATGTGGGGCTGTATAGAAGTGTCACACACCTACTGGCAGCCCTACACGTGTTAGAGGAGATGGAAGCAGTGCTAATGTAATTGCACACACGCACATGCATGCACCTGCTCTGGGACGAAGTTCTGTGCTTCTTGTCTTTGGGCACAAGAAGACAACATAAATACACCACACATGTGTTTACCTCCTCTGGAGAATCACCAGGCTACTCAGGGTCTTGTTGGATGAGAGAAACAGAAAGTGGGGAGACAGCATGAAGACGTAGCACTGGATTTAGGGGGCGAGGGGGGTTCCTCTGCACAGGATGCTGAGCAGAGGGAGTGCATCATCATCATCATCATCACCATCATACCTATATTTATATGGATGCACAGAACAGAAGGCAAGAGGGAGTGAAAATAACGAATATTTAGGGAGGGGATGCCAAATTTTGTCCTCACAGGTGCCATATTACCAAAGTCCAGCCCTGAAAAATGTCTGGTCTCCTACTGCAGGAGCCAGTTCTGCTCCTAACACCTTCTCTCGCTCTGCCTACCACACATACTACAGTAAGGCCCTCCTTACGTTGATGAAGACCCTAGCTCTGCCACAAAGGCTTGTTCCACAATATATTGGCCTTCAGGCTTCCACAATACTCTTGCTTGGTTTTGCTCAAGCGAACCAAAACAGCTGCTGCTTTGCGGTTATTGGTCACCTGAAAGTGTACAGCGGGCAATCAGGTTAAGCAATGACTACATTATTTCCCATGCCGATGTATTTTATTGCAGTGATACCATGCAGGCTTAATCCATGAATGATCCACCTTGTCAAACACTCTAATTAGAGGTTCTTAACCCATGTGAGGCACCTGTCTAAAACCCCATTTCTCCCTCAACCTCCCTATGGCCTTTTCCTGTTTGCCTTCCCTCTTCCCATTTCTCTCTTAGTTCTGTATATTAAAATTATTCCTCCATCTCTTCCAATCAACTGTGGCTGCACCAACACCGACCCTAGGCTGGGGTCCCAAGACTCACAAAATTGTGTTCACCTATTGAAACTGGAACACAAGTGTGAAGCGCTTTGAACTGCTAGGAACACAACCTCTGGGGTCTTTTTGAATTCATCACAAGTGGTAGTAAGTAGCACTTAATTAAAAGCCATTTTTAGAGAGGGCTATTTCCCCCATAACCAGAGGCAGACCTAGGCTCACTGGCACCCTTGGTAAGTTGCTGTATCAGTACATACACCCCCCCACCCCAGTCCCTTGCACTTTTCACAAGGAGATATCTGTGCCTCCAAAGCTGGGAGAGAACAAAAAACTTTGCTTTTTGTCAACTTTCACGCTCTGCCAGTGACTTCCTTCATGGCCATCAGGGTCTGCTCCACCTCCTCTCCTCCTCTGCCATTGGTCCATCTGCTTCCCTGGCTCCTTCCACTCACTGCTTTTGCTTCTGTCTTTTTTCCTCTTCCTGCAACTCTTGCTGGCTCTCTCCATCATTCTTTCTTCCCTCCTCTCACACTTCTAATAGCACTGCTCTGCCAAGGTGCCCAGAGAAGCTTGCATCCCTTGCCCAGCCACCCAGAGCAGTGGAGGAGCAGCTCAGAGAGCATGCAGACAGGCAGGAAGGCTCCCAGCCACTCTGAGCCAGAGTGGAGAGGCATAATTTTTGCACCTGCCCTTGGTGGGGGTCGACCTAAATGACCCTAGGTCATTTGCCCATAACAAGTTTGCCACAGCATCGTTATAATTAGATGGCTATGATCTCTTGGCTGTTTTATACTTGGACTTGACTGTCTTGCCTCTTTTGCAGACTCCTCAAGCCAGGAATGAAGATCTTCTATGAATGTGAGCATTTAAATCAACAGCTAAACCATGTGACTTGACAGCTTTGTTCTAGAGTTCATGGACTGGATGTTTCATAATTTGAAGAAGAAGAAGAAGACATAGCCTTCACATGCGTAAAATATATCAGTGCAGCTTTGGACACTTCCATTTATAAATAATGTTGCTGCAATTCTATGCACAGTTTCCTAGGAGTAAGTCCCATTGAACTTACTGGGAGCATGTGAGTTTTCCCCAATGAAATGTTTCACGTGAATATTTTTTTATAATGTAAGGTAACATAAATTATTTTTAAAAAAATCTATTAATATGCATTTTTTAATTTATCATGCCATATGACAGTAAGATCACTTTCAGACATCTAGAAGAAGCACATGTACTTTCAGTTTCTTTTCTTCATGCTCCAGAGTCTTAGTCAAAAAAAGCAGGTTTGCAACCCACCCCCCCATGGAAACATCTGTTCTGTCCTCACATTGGGATATTCATTTATTAATAAAGGTTTGATTGGTGTGTGCATATTTAAGTTTCTCTGTGCATTTAATGATTACTTAGGTAGAAGCACTTAATGAAGATTAAGGATAATTCATAGATTTACTGTAACCTGGAATGGTCACTACAGCCTTACAGTAAAGATAACTGTTCTTTAAATGGATGTATGATCTTTTTTAAAAGCACACTCTCAACTGCCTGTAGTTTGAAGCGGGGGCAAGGAAAGTAGATGTCATTGGGTGGGGTGGGTGGTACCATTGAACTCTTAATATGGCTGGATGTTAAGCAAAGCAAGAGGGTAAGACAACCTGACTTGGTATTGAAGTCATAGTGCCAGCACTGCCTGGTTAACTTTACTTGTAGAGTCTTGGAAGGGACCTGACTGGGGGGGTGGATATCTTGGAGGGGAATGTCATTAAGAGTTTCAGCTGTTCATAATTTACTACTACACCACGGATTCCTCCTATCCCAAGATCCTAATATACCGGTACGTCCAGGATCCTTCCATACTTCTGTAATTTTCCTGAATCTTTACTAAATTTTTTAAAAATACAAATAAATATAGTTTATCAAATCACATGGTGCATTCTCCTATGGAACCAATGATGGACATTTAATATTTATGTGATGGTTTGGAAACTGAGGTTTCTAATAAAGAGCTACTCCGATTCCTGCTCACAACAGCCACACTCACAGTGGCCACGCACTGGAAGTCTGCTGCAGATTTGCAAAACTATTGGGACCTCCAGTTCTGGACCATTGCATTAATGGGAAAGTTAACAAAACATACATCCAAAAGTGAAGGACAACTTTTCTATAGTTTGGCATCCATTTATTGAATATGTTCAAGCAAAGGAATATGATTGGCAGCCGCCCTCTTCCCATGGATTCCTTTGGGAAAAACATTCTTGGATATTATGTTCAGGAAGGGTGATTGCCTGGAACCATAATGCTGTTTTGGGAATACTCACTCCTCACATCCTTCCTTCCTTTGCTATTTTCTGTTGTCATTATGGGTTTTTTTGTGTATTGGAAAATGAAAATTAAGAACAATCGCCTCCGTTATGTACAGTGGTGCCTCGCAAGACGAAAAGAATCCGTTCTGGGAATCTCTTCGTCTAGCGGTTTTTTCGTCTTGCGAAGCAAGCCCATTGATGGGATTAGCGGATTAGCGCTATTAGCGGCTTTTAGCGGCTTTTAGCGGCTTTTAGCAGCTTATCAGCTTATCGGATAAGCAGATAAGCGGCTTAGCGACTTAGAAAAAGAGGGGGAAAAGGAAAAAAAAAACCCAGGAACTCGCAAGACATTTTCGTCTTGCGAAGCAAGCCCATAGCAGATTCGTTTTGCGAGGCACCTCCAAAACGGAAAACTCTTTCGTCTAGCGAGTTTTCCGTCTTGCGAGGCATTCGTCTTGCGGGGCACCACTGTACTGAAGTTCTCACCCTGGGCCAGCAGGGGGATACTGTAGATAGTTTTCACTCAGGTCCACATATGCAAATAAGGGATCGAAAGTGACGTTCAGTGATTGGATAGTTACAGAAAATGGTTACTGTTGTGTTCTAGTGGAGCTCTATATAAGCAGGCTGGCTGAACCCTTCAGTTCAGTTCTGTTCTGGCCTGTGAATAAACAAGAGCGGTTTGAAGAATCGCTGTGTCCTCTGATATGTTCACCCACAACTTAACACTCTCTCCCCCCCTCAAAAAAGCTGCATGGTAGATTCTAGTAACTTTACCCAGGTCCCTCCAATGCCTCCTCACGGTTCTGCCAACCCGTGGACCATGGGAGTAACCAAGGGAAGGCAGTGGGGGGGGCAGCTGCCCTCTTCCCAACAAGAAAAATAAATACTTCACTAACTGAGGTTTTGATTTCCCAACATGAAGCCTGGCTACGCTCTGAGCAGAAACCGTTCAGAGACGCAAGGCGCGTCGAGGTCCCGAAGGCGCTTCAGAAGCGCGCTCTGGAACAGGCCGCGCAGCAGTCGCAGAAGCCAGGGAACCGGTTGATCTTTAACTTCAACGAGGGACTTTGCTCTTTAACTTTAAGCTGGGCGGGAAAAGCTCCCGGAGGCGTTAGCGCGCCAGTGAGGAGGAGAGAGAGCGGGCTATAAACTCCTGAGGGAAGAGAGGCGTCAGGTCCCGCCGCCAAGCCGGTCGTGCTCTCCGTGGGAGACCTGCAGTTGTGGATCATGGAGTCCAGTGTGGTGAGGAAAGCGGCGTCGGGCGGGTGGAGTGGGGCGCCAAGGGGACCCCCCCCCCCAGCCCAGCGAAGGAAGTCCGGGGACGCTAGTGCCCTTTGTACGCCCAGGTGCCTGAAAAGGCCATTCGCCTCAGCTGCCTTTGTTTACCCTCCTCCCCAATGAATCGTTGCCACTGGCATTCGGGATATGGATTCTTGCCGAGTTTAGGGCTGCCGCGCGGTAATGAGTGAAAACGAATAACTGAAAATAAACTGTTTCAGACGAGTTGCTTCCTCAACAGCTTTTCCTTCCTCAAACCAGGTGTGTGTCTCTCCCCCCCCCCCCGCGTTGTTCTTATCATTTCCTTATTTCTTTGAGAGTCTAATTAGGGTTGCCAACTGACAGGGAGCAGGGGATGGCCAGACCTGCTCTTGTGCCTTTTAGCTGCCTATTGGTGTGCAGAAATGCACAGCTGAAGCCATTTTGCAAGCCTGCAGAGAAGCATGAAGGGCAGCAGTCCCATTCCTGTGTGAAGGCACTGTATGGAGGGGCTGACTGAAAAGCTGGCAACCTCATCCATGCAAGTTGGTGGTTCCCAATTAGCTAAGTACCCCCTGTTTCTCAGGGAAGTTTTTAATATGTGACATTTTAGTGTATTTTTCATCTTTGTTGGAAGCCGCCCAGAGTGGCTGGGGAAACCCAGCCAGATGGGCAGGGTACAAATAATAAATTATATATTATATATATATAAAAACAAACAAACAACCAAAACCACAAGCTATGGAATTTCTCACTTTTGAGAATGTTGAAACCTCTACAGTAGGTTTTGTCGTGTGCCATGCACCCTCTGGTGGCCTATACAGGCTCCTTGGGGTTTGCGGACCACTGGGAAGCACTGATGTAAGTGATTGTGTGTATAAAAGTGAGAGCTGATGGCAGTGACAGATCTTGGGGTCCCAAATTTCAGCAGTGCCCTGTGTGATGCCAAAATTCAGCACTATCTTGCCCCATTCTAAATCATAGTTGCGGTACTACCCCCGCCCGAAGCTCTGTGTCCATTGCGGCTGATCCCTAAATCCATCTCTGATGATGATTGCCAAGTGCACAAGTGTCTTGACATGAAATGAGAGAGGTGGTTTTTGGATTAGACTGGTTCCTGTAGGACCGGTTCTGTGCACTTTGTTACTTTATCCTGAGCCTTGCACACAACATGCAGATAAACCAGTCTTTCCTGCCTGCAATTGTCCTTGAGAAATTCAAGGCTCAAAGTCTTGCTTTACCATTTGACTCACAGTATTGCTTTGAGCAAGCGTCTGTTTCTCAGGGATATCTACTGCATGGAATTGGAAGGGGCTGTGACGTCATTACGGTGAAGCACATTGTTCAGGGCTGAAAACTACTATGGAAATGTGATGCTAAACTGGCACAACTGTGTAGCAAAGCCTTACACCTGCAGCACATTTAGTGTTTTGTGGGGCGGTTAGCCTGCATGATGCCTGAGTCCCTTATTCCTGGGGTCCTGGTTCCATCAAGGGTTAAAATCTAATAGAGGATTCAAGTGCTGAAGTAAGCATCTTGGTGAGTTAATGGCCCTAAGTAGGGTCACTGGTATAACAAAGGAGATTGCTTTGTGCCAGATGTCAGATAGGTGGGCCCCCTTCCCTCACCTGGCTGGTTATTGGAAGGACAATGGCCAGTGTGTGTGTGAACTGGCAGGCAGAAGCAAGAGAGTGAGAGCCATGCTTGATTTCTGTTTGATTCCAAGATTGTGACTATGGGAGAAGCAAGACTTTATGGGATGATAATGCTGTGAGCCCTTCCATCTTAGGCACAGGTTGTATATATGTGTAAATAAACCATATATCCTAAAGGCACCACAGTCTTCTATCCCTCATTCTGAGGAAACCGAGCCCAGGGTAAGTGCCTGGAACCTCTGGCATCTTGCACTGCTCAGAGATTAGGGTGGCATTCAACAGTACTTACTTAGTGTGTGTGTGTGTGTGGTTTTTTTCTCTTCCAGGATCTATCTTTCCTGATTGCCGGGATGCTGGTTGCAATATCTGTTGCATTGTTGGTTTTTAAACCAATGGCCTCTCGGAAGAAGAAAGGTCCAATTACTTTACAAGATCCAAATATCAAGTATGCATTGTGTTTGAGAGAGAGAGAGGTAAATTATCTTCTCTTACATGGTTTGAATGCACTAAGTGGTCTTATACTGAATTAATCCATTGGTCCATCCACAACTGTATTGTCTATTGTGGCTGGCAGTAGCTGTCCAGGATGAGTTCCTTTCAATTGCAGATGACAGGGACTAAACCAGGGGCTTCGTACATGCAAAAGTTGTGCTCTTTATTGTTAGAATCATAGAATTGTAGAGTTGTAAGGGATAACAAAGGTCATCAGGATGCAATGCAGGAATCTTTTGCCCAGTGTGGGGCTCGAACCCTTGACTCTGAGATTAAGAATCTTTTGCTATTATTGTTAGATTTATTTATACCTTGTGTTTCCCTGACAGAAATCAATGCAGCTTGCAGATAAAAAACAAGAATAACTAAAAACATAGAAAAAGCAATAATTAAAATACAATTAAACATTGATAGAATTAAAACTGTATACATATATAAAATCTGTTTTAAAAATATAATTACCCTAAAAGCAACATGGCACCAGCCCTTTAATTAAAAGAAGTCAATTCCTAAAAGCCTGTTGGAGCAGGAAAGTATTCAGCTGCCAGAAGGACAGCAAGTAAGGAGCTATTCCAGCTTCTCTAGGGAGGGAGTTCCAGAGTCTGGGAGCAGCTACCCGGGCAGCCTTTCTCAATCTGTGGGTCCCCAGATGTTGTTGAACTACAACTCCCATTAACCCTAGCCAGAGCTCAGGGATGATGGGAGTTGTAGTCCAACAACATCTGGGGACCCAGAGGTTGAGAACCACTGAAGGCCCTCTCCCGCGTACCCACCAAGCTTGCCTGTGAGGGTGGTGGGACTGAGAGAAAAGCCTCCGCTGAAGATCTCAAAACCCAGGCAGGTTTGGATGAGGGAGTAAGGACCTAAGCTGTGTATTCTGTCACTGAACTAGAACCCCTCCTAGCTGTTTGCATTTCATAGCAAGAAACGAACTTTGACATATTTTCCCTGTGTTACGGCTGTATCTCTGTGCCAAATCACTGCACAATGCACAAAATGCCTCTGAAATAAAAATAGCCAATCTTTACTAATTTCAAGGTGCTGAGCACAAAAATGACATTAACATTAGTTGATTGGCTCCTGTGTAGGAGATACAAAGTGTCAGTACGCCTTTGAGCCGATGCCAACGACTAGGCTCAACAACTGGATCTGCCCCGACTGGGCTAGGTGACTGGAAAGCACTTCCAGAGACCTTCCACTCCTGGAAATCAGGTCTAAGTGTACTGGACCCACAACTGTGAGTTGTGAGCACCAAACTCAGCAGAGTATGAACAACACAGAAGAAAGTGGTGAAGCATAACTTCTTTTATTTCTAATAGCTACTGCAAACTAAATTAAAGAGGTACAGGCTTGCATGAGTGTTACAGTTCTCACTCAGCCATCTAATCACTACAGAGATAACACACAGACTCTCACAGGCAGGAGCCGAAGAATCAAAGAGCAGTTTCCGCCCCCTCCTTTCTGAAAACATCAGGAGATTCTCGCAATGGGAGGGGGTGAAAATATCCACACAAAGATGATCATGTATAAATGACCCAGTCCACATTGAGTACACGATTTCATTTGGCAACGATGTATTTCAAACTCCACACATTCTTACACAAGAAGAGCTGAACAATCTTGTTTTGTGAGCTGTAGGGCTGTGCAAGGCCAAAGCGGATTTACTGGGATCAAGACTTCAGCAATGGAATCTTCTGAAGGAAATTGTCTGAGTGACTTCGAATCACGCTAGTCATGAAGATCACCTTATGTTCTGCTATAATGTAAATGGCCTGATGAATGTCCTTGGAATCATTCAGGGTGATGAGAAAAAAAAGCTTGGGATGTGTTTTGTCTGGTGTCAGCTAGCTTCCATGGGAATGTCAGAGCAGAGAACTGGTTGAAGACGTGTCACTGTATCGCAAACCTGGCTGCAATATGTCCTTAAAGATCCACTTTCTCCTTTCCCACTTGAATTTCTTTCCCGACAACTGTGGTATGGATAGTGATGAGTTTTCATCAGGAAATTGCAACGATGGAGAAACGATTCCAGGGGAAGTGGTCTGCTGCCATGTTTGCTGACTTCTGTTGGACGCTGCCCAGAGATGCTACTGAACAGCTATGCAAGTGACAGGCTAAGCGGCATTGGATGTAGAAGCCGGCTTAACCGATGCATGTTGTCACGTGCACATTCTTCAATTGCCGTGTTTTTCGCTCTATAAGACGCACCCAACCATAAGACACACCTAGTTTTTAGAGGAGGAAAACAAGAAACAAGAAAGCAACGCAAAGCCTCCTGAGCGAAGAGGGAGGAGCACTCCCGCAGCGCTCAAGAGGCTTTGCGTGGCTATCCCTGGAGAGCAAGAGGGATCGGTGCGCACCAATCCCTCTTGCTCTCCTGGCTTCAGCGATAGCTGCGCAGCCTGCATTTGTTCCATAAGACGCACACACATTTCCCCTTACTTTTTAGGAGGGGAAAAGTGCGTCTTATAGAGCGAAAAATATGGTGTATAGTAAACCTTTGCACATCTCTATGAAACAGTAGTCATTTTTGTGTTTTCATTGTTGCATTTGTGTTCAGCACCTCAAGATCTATAAGAAATGGCTACTTTTATTTCAGAGACATGACTTACGTCAGAATTTGTTGTGCAATGTAATGAACCAAGTAACTTTCTTCAAGTGAAAGAAGAATGCCACATCCCTAAACAGCCATAGCATGGACAGAGTGGGGAAGCAATCACTGTGGCTGGACCAACAGGGTCAGATGGATTTGCCTAAATGCTTTTGTGTCCTTCTCATAAGTGTCCCAGAAATATCTGATTGAGCCCTGTAGGAAGCAAAACACACCAGATTGATCTAGCCTGGCCCCTTTTTTGTTCTTAAGCCAATCTTAAGTCAGTGCAAGATGATTGGCTGAAGTAAAACAGGGCAGAAGCTAAGGAGAAGTGTAAGGTATTGTTTGCCAAGGGTATAATTTTACCTGTAAGCTTTTTAAGGAGCTTGGCTAGGAAGCAAGATTGAAAAGAAACAAGTGAAGAGATGAAAGCACACAAAACAGTTCTGATTACATGCAAAATGTAGGTGCTTCCACACTAGATGACCATAGAATGATAGAATTGTAGAATTGGAAGGTACACCAAGGGTCATCTAGTCCAACCCCCTGCAATTCAGGAATAAAGAATCAAGTTCTTACAGATGTGGAATGGGCATTATGTGGCACCTGTAGTAGTGCCTATTCTGCTAATCAAAGCAAATCCATGAAGAGTATTATGTGACTTTAAAAATTTGAAGTTTTGGAATGTTTTGTTACATAGCATAACCCTGCAATACCCACCTTTTTGTGTTTTTACAGGAGATCAGTCACGATACCAGGAGATTTCGGTTTGAACTTCCGTCATCAAAACATATATTGGGCTTGCCTGTAGGTAAGCATGGCTGCATATTATGATTTCTAAGACAGAGCCTTTTGGGTGACAGCACCCCATCTCTGGAAAATCACTCTGGAAACTCTTCAGAACTGATTCAACTCCAGTGTCAGTGGAGGCAAATTAAGATTGTACAGACTTTTCTTGGCATAACAGCCTAAAAATAATGATGTTTTCAAGCATAATGTGAGATTGTGTTGGTTTCCAATTCCTCATCTTCCTGAAATTGATTTCCATGTGTTTTCAAGCTTATGTTCACAACTATGAAGATTCTTTCTTTCTCTCTCTCTCTCTCTCTCTCTCTCTTTCTCTTTCTCTCTTTCTCTCTTTCTCTCTCTCTTTCAAAAATGTAAATTTTGAGCAGTCCAATAGTTTAGCTAGTTTGTTAATGCTATTATGAACTTTGGAATGAAAAGTTAACAGTTTCTCCCACCTAGGCCAACACGTTTATCTCTCTGCCAAAGTGGACGGTAACCTTGTGATCCGGGCCTACACTCCAGTTTCTAGTGATGATGTGAAAGGCTATGTTGATTTAATCATAAAGGTATATTTAAATTTATTTAATGCTGGTAGCTTGATCTGCTTGGATTTTGGTTCTATTTCTCATAAACATGGGTCTAAATTACAATTTGCAGCCAGAAATTAGATCATTTTTAAATTTATGTCTGAAGAAGCACACTAGGTTATTATTAACATATTTTAAAAGTGTATGGGCTCATTCTGGAATCAGAGAATGGTGTGGACATGATGGGAAATACGCTTTGCCTCAGCTTCCTTTATTATACATGTTAACAGAGACTTGTCTGTCTGGGCACTGAAAATAAAACACAACTCACATTTGTGTGTGTGTGTGTGTGTGTGTGTGTGTGTACAATGATCTTAAAGTGCTCTCATGGGTGTTTTGAAGATTGGTTCTACTGTGGGTACTGAATATGTCTGCAGGTTCTGATGGATTTAGTGGGTTATAGGGGTGGGGGGATGTAATGATGTATATCTTGAATGCCAGCCACTGAACTTTGTACTGATCTCCCCCCCCCCCCCCCCAGATCAAATGTATAGTTGCATGTTAAATGTGCTGCTTTATGCAGGAAATAAGCTTAATGTTTTTACTTGGGGAAGGAAGAAGCTTTCAAAATCCTGGTTGCATCTTGACAGTAGGAAGATGAAGTACAGAAACAGCTGGTTCTTTCTTCAGTGATACATTGGAATAAATGTAACTGAAGCAACTTTATTACTATTTTTTCTTCAGTACTGGAAGTATTAAAGGACCAGTGTGTGTGCAAGTGACTTTCCCCCCCTGTGGCTGGATCATTCATTGCTGCAGTAACTGCAGTAGGATGGAAAAACTTGAGTTGGCTAAATTAATGACTTCTTTTCAAGCCATCCTTGTATGTCACTCTGTTGTGGGGTTTTGTCTTCTCTCGTGTATAGTAGCAACATTTAATCTAACCCAGGATTCTTCCAAAGCTTGAAAAGAATCATTGTGCACAGGGAAGTATTAAACTAGGCACCTCCATCATTTATCCACTTGCTCCTCTGCCTGATGCACACAAATGTGGCAGGTGAAAGTTATCCAGGCATGGAATAAAGAGGTTGAAAAAACTTAAATCTGATAAATATGTCAATTTCAGGCTTTTGTATAAAACAGAAGGGCAGGGCCAGTGCTATGCCAGCCATACTAAAGACAGGATGTTTCTGCTTTGATATAAAGATTAGTGACTTGTGAGCATATTGTGTGATACTCTGTAACACTTTGTAATGAAAAAGGTGAATCTTTTGCTGTTCTGGGGGAAGGATGTCATAGAAAGGGTGGGGAACCTGTGGTTGTCCAGATGTTGGATAATAATAATAACAATAATATTTTATTTATATCCCACCCTCCCCAGCCGAAGCCGGGCTCAGAGTGGCTAACAACAATAAAAGTAACACAGCATTCTAAAAGCAATTCATTGATTTCATAACTCTCATCATTCCTGACCATTGGCCATGATGGGAGTTGGAGTCCAGCAACATCTGAACGACTACAGGTGTCCCCCCCCCCCTTGCCTACTTCCAGGATGACTCCTTACCAAAGCTTATCCAGAGACCAAATAAGACTTAGTACTTTAGACTTGAGTTCTTAAAGTTTATCTGGTAGGGTAAATAGAAGTGCAGTGGTTTTTTTGTTACAAACTCTGGGATTTTCTGGGTTCTATTTCATGTTTTGTGTGATAACAGACAATTGTGACACTTCGTTTTAGCTCAAAGGGCAGAGTGAAAAATGTTGTTATTTACTCCTTTCCATTGCATCTCACTGTTGCCTTAAAGTAAAATGGCTAAATTCTTTCTACCACTGTTGTGTGTTCCCCCACTTCCTCTTCAAACAGGTTTACTACAAAAACATTCACCCCAAGTTTCCGGAAGGTGGGAAGATGTCCCAGCATTTAGACAACATGAAAATTGGTGATACCATTGACTTCAGAGGACCTAATGGACTTCTGGTATACAAGGGGTCAGGTACAATAAGGTCACAGAATCCAGATGCTTAAAATAGCTGCTAGATGATGTGATGAAGAAGATATTTGGGGCAGTCTTTCACCTGTTGTCCGAACACTGTAACATTAGTATGCCAAAGAGGGTAATCAACAGGAATTTGTGACAACTGAACAGTGATGGTGCTCTTGAGAGACAGATGGGCAGAAGTCACTGAGAGATAAGAGTTACAGCATCTCAGCTGAAGCAGGGGGGCTTCAAGATGATGTGTATCTTTAAATCGTTTAAGCTATCATGTGCTGCAGTAGAATTGGAGCAGTCATTTCATCAGACTCTGTTGAAGGGAGAGAGAGTGGACTGCAGGGCCCCTCCATCAGTTCTGCTGAGATATCACAAATATTTGGATCCTCCACTTATGGAAATCTTTCAATTCCAGGCTGTCATTACAAGAACTCTACAATTGAAAAACAGTGCCCCGAGTTTACCTTTTTCTTTCTTACTCCCAATCTTTTTTTCTCTCTCTTGTGTCACTCACCTCAGGCTTATAAACTAAAAGACATGGCACACAAAAAAAAAAGATTGGTAGGGAGAAAGAAAGATGCAAACTTAAAATTTAAAAAAGATCACACTGCCCAGAGCAACTTCTAAACATATCACTTATATTTGTAAGCTGCTCTGGGCACCTCTTTTTCTTTTTTTAACTGAAGAGTAGGGTAAAAATGCTTTTAATAATAATGCATTTTAATTTTTTTGCTAAGATAATTGCTAACTCCAGTCCTTTTTAAAATACATGTGCATCAATACCTTCTCTTATAGTGCAGTCCTATGCATGTTTAGTTGAAAGTAAGTCCCACTGTGTGCAGTGGGATGTACTCTCAAGTAACTATGCACAGAATTACAGCCTTAATTACATAGTTTTCTATTCCATGTTAGCTGCTGTAAATGAAGCAACGTACTCCAACCTATAAATCCTGGCTTCTACTGGCTAGACTATATTGCCTCACTGTTAATATGATGAGTGACCGGCTGTGTAGCTCAATCCTGTGTTTACTTGGAGGTAAAGCCTACTGTTTCAGTAGGTTTACATAGGATTGCAGATTTAAAGAGCAGTGTTGCATGGCACAGTGATTAAATGCTGCTGAAATGGTCATAGGTTCACTCTTTGGTTTGCCTTGACAGCTGTAATCTCATTTTCACACAGGTAAATTTTCTATCAAGCCAGATAAGAAGTCTGAAGCAAGGATAAAGTTTGCAAAACATGTTGGAATGATAGCTGGAGGAACAGGTATGATATTATGCCTTGGTGAGGGGACAGATAGTGCTGAGCACATGGCAAGAACTAAAGTTACTGCATATATTTTATGTGATCATTAAACTTGGGTGGGGCTAGCTTGAGGCTTTCCCATATTCATTGTGGGCACTTCCGAAGTCCTTCATGCCAGAGGACTTATTGTGTGGAGGAGGCTGCTTGGCAAGCCGTTTTAGTATTTGTTGACCCCTGGTTTTAACTCAGTAGATGGCATTATGTGATAACTAAAGCCTCTGTCACCCTTTGGCCTGTTATAACTTATCAACAGTATAGAAGTGTTGCATTTATACAAAATACATTTACTTGGGCCTGATTTAAGATTCCTGCTGCTTCTTTCAGCAGTGAATGATATGGCAGTGGTCTGCCCTTTATTCAGCTCAATATTCAGTTGCATCGGCCACTGTTCCCTTTCACCTGCTGGAGAAGTCTCCTTTTGCCCCATGGCAGAAGGGTGGAAGGTAGCATTGCAGGAAGAGCTGGGTGGGAGAAGCTGTGGCTGCATTCTTGTGGGGCAATTGTGGGGTCACTAAGAGGCAGGAGTGCTTTCTGTGTTGCACCCTAGTAACGCTCTGGCCAACATCAATTTGAGAACTGAGTGATCTATAACTGTCTGGTTCAGTGAAAACATGGCCTGAGCACAAGAGCTTGGGGTCATGCAGTAATTCTGAAATAGTTACCATCTTGGAGCAGGTAGTATTGATCCCACCGGGTGGCTGGGGAAACCCAGCCAGATGGGCGGGGTAGAAATAACTAAATAAATAGTAGTAGTAGTAATTGTTATGTACTGAGGTTCTCACCCTGGGCCAGCAGGGGGATACTGTAGATAGTTATGCAAATAAGGGATTGAAAGTGACGTTCAGTGATTGGATAGTTTTAGAAAGTTGTTACAGTAACGTTGTACTGGAGCTCTATATAAGCAGGCTGACTAAACCCTTCAGTTCAGTTCTGTCCTGGCCTGTGAATAAACAAGAGCTGTTTGAAGAATTGCTGTGTCGTCTGATATGTTCACCCACAACTTAACAATAATGATGATGATGATGATGATGATGATGATGTCATCCTTAGGAATGTACTTACCAATCTAAGAGATTTAGTCTGGAGTGTGAATTCAGCTACACCGAATATAGTAAATGCAGGCCAATCATCAAGCACTACTGCTAAGCAGTCCATTTCCCCTTGTCCTATTTTACAGCTAGTCAAACAAAATCTGGGACGGACTAATCTAAAATCTTACAAAAATCCAATTAGGATAAGGCAGCATTAAGTGTCTCTGCTTGTGGGAATAGAAAATAAACATCTAATTGTTGCATTTGGCTTTGATTTTTATAGGAATTACTCCAATGCTTCAACTAATTCGTCACATTACAAAGGACCCCAAAGATAACACCAAGTGTTACCTTCTTTTTGCTAACCAGGTAAGTAGACTTCTCTAGTTTATTGATTTTTCTCTGTGGTTCTCACAAAGGATTTCGAGAAGTGGAACTGAAACAGGGTTTTAACAAGCAACAGTTTGAGTGTTAGAAGGCGGCAAGAGAAGGCAGCTTGTATGCATTTTCCCATCCAGGATAAACCAGAAAGTTTGGCCAGAAAGTGAATGTTAATCACACTTACTCAGAAGTAAGGTCAGTTTGCTCTGCTTCACTGGAATTCTGTTCTAAGCAAAGGGTAACATAGCCTCAATGCTAAACTTTTGAGGAGCTGATTGATTTTACCTAATAAGGTAAAAATAAGAGGGGGCAGTGAAGTTAGAAACAATGGTGCATAAAGGTGATTAAGAGAGGTGTGTGTATGCATGAATCTCCCAATTATTGTACTTTGTGGATGTTTCACTGACCTTCTACCGATAGACAGAAGAAGATATATTATTGAGACCAGAGCTTGAAGATGTAGCAGCAAATCACTCGGATCAGTTTAAACTGTGGTACACTTTGGACAGACCACCTCAGGGTAAGCGACTCTGGCTTTGAGTATGGCATACTTCTAGTGTAGGGATAAGTTTGCCTTGCTATGATGTTAGATAAATTCTAGTGAGCATTTAAAGTTTGTAAACCAGGATTTTTCTGTCTTCGATCATTTTTCCTGGTTGCCGTTGATGATGCACCCCAGGAACCCTTGCAAAGCAAAATGCTATTTCACTAGTAAGACAAAAACATCACGTGTTAAGACTTTTCTTTGGGGGGTAACCACAGGAATCATGATGGTTAGGATTTTCTATTGAGGGAGGTGAAAGGGGAAGAAGGAACAGCAGCTCTAAGGAACAACCACCAACTTCTTTTTCTCTTGGTTTAAGACTAGGAGCCTGCCCCATGTAGATTGCTGCATTTTATAAATGCTGTCCATGCTGTTTGTAAGATTCAGTAAGAGCTTTACTAGGTTCTAGTTACATCTTTGGAATGTGCATCAAACTGTCATCTGGAGATCTGATGGCCACCTGTCAGGAGTGGCTAACATGTTGCTGAGCTCCAGTTTCCCATCAGCCTCCACCCAGCTTGGTGGGGAAGTCCAGAACTATCTGGTGGACCACTGGTTTCCTGCCATGCATGATGGTCTCACTCATTCAAGTCAGGGGCTGTCGCTTTATGGAACTGAATCTGGAAGCTCTTTTAGATGAGAGAGCTAAATGTGTTTGGATCATGATCAAACCCTCTCTGGATATCACATAGTAGACATATCTGATGTATTCTTAAGGTGATATAATAGACAAGTAATTGATATGAAAGACTAGCCCTGAAGCTTTCTAACTATGTCCACCATTTTTTTCATTTCAGGCTGGAAGTATAGTGCTGGTTTTATTACGGATAGCATGATAAAAGAACATATGCCTCCCCCTGCCAGTGAGACTCTGATTCTGATGTGTGGACCCCCACCTATGATTCAGTTTGCTTGTCTGCCTAATCTTGAAAAGCTAGGGTATGCCAAAGAAAACACTTTTGCTTATTAAACCGAAGTTGTACCATCCCTTTTATAGTACGTTGTTGGTACATACAAATTTTGTGTTAAAGCAAGTAGTAAAATTGATGACTGATGGGAGTGGTATTTCCCGGACATAGCTGGGATGTGGCCATTGGAAATCCCCAAAATGTCTGGGATAATCTGGATGTATGGCAACCGGTGTTTATATCAACACTGCTTCTCATACTAACGGTGCTAGGTTATGCCTTCCTCTGCATTGAGATGCTGCTTAAACTGTTGCAACTATGTAATTACAACAGCTTCTTTTGTCCAAAAGTAGTTCTATAACCAGTAGAAGAATGCTGCATTTAAAAAGGCTATCGGGGAAGCTAACAGTTTTCCATTTAATAAATATCAAATTGTTTTGTAAAATTTGTTTGATGCAGTAATATAATTTACTTCACAATGACCATTCAAGTATGTTCATTATTCTGTCACTGTCTCTCTTCCCTGGCCCGGATTTTTCACATGCCATCAGCTTTAGTGAATCCCATCTCAGAAAACCAGGGGGAACATCAGTGCTTCCTGTAAGAACCATGCAAGAGTAGGCAGAAAGTGAAATCTGCTGTTGAGACCATCCTATCTGTTGGTGCCATGCTGCCATTGGAGCATGAAAGCCAAAGCCCATTTTATAGGTCGGACAGCATGAAGAGCTTCACTGTTGGGCAGGTGCTCCTCCAAAGGAGGGGTGGTGGTGGAGGATGTAAAAGTGGGGGTGGGGGCAGGCAAGCAGTCTCAGCAGGATTCAGTCTTCAATTTCAGAACCATGTATGCAGCATTTGGGCAGTAAACCTCCTCTTACAGCTTCCCTTAAGCCATATAGCCAAAGACACAAATATGGGCTGTTTCCTGCATAAACTGCATTTGAAGACACTGCAGGGAGTGTCTTCCAGAGTCTTAACCACCCAGCCGTTTTGACATTGCCTAATTATACTGTAACAATATTCTAAACATTGCCACAATAAACTATTCTAGATAATATTGATGACAAGGTAGGAAATGTATACATATACATTTGAGCCATATTGCTCATGCAAGTCTTGGCGTAGCTTATTCATATTCAAGACATTACACCACCAATTCTTAATAGCCTTGAAGTATATTCATTGACTGTTGCTCATGAAACTCTTTCTGCAACATTGGAACTCTCTGAGCCAAACATTCATACCAGTGTGTCAAATAGGAAAACCTTTCTGGGAATATTTGTTAACCAATTTTATTTTCTTACACTTATTGCCAACCTTTTTTCCTTTACGGAATTCAAGGTGACATATATGTCGTTGAGAGTCACCCACCCAAAGCACTGACCAGACTCAGCCGTGCTTTGCTTCAGGGAGGTGGCATCATCCAGACCACAAACCCTAGTACAGACTGTATGCATGCATATGCTTCAACAGTCCCCTTTGTAAAAATGACATACAACATACTTTTTCATGCTTTTGAGGTTAAGAGCATGCACTAGCTCGAGAACTGTAAGAAATGACACAGATATAAATACGTTCAAAAGCTCTCCAGGGCTGAAAAGCCATTAAGTAGTTTATGCTTCAAGTATTCATCTTGTACAAGCATTCAAGGACCTGTTACTTAATAGTAAAGTCCAAACGGCCACCCACCCCAGCTTTCAGTTTGATTCAATGGATGTCTGCTGGCTGCATGTTGACCTCTCTCTTGCAAAACGAAAACATTCAGAGTTGTGCTATTATTATTAGGATGGCAACAGAAGTTACATTTGGAATGTGTGTTTTTTGCGACCAAAACTTTGTCACCAGCAGGTGGTACCCTTGCCTAATGATGTGTAGATGTCCACAGTGCTACACTAGAGCAGGCTTGAAGGTCTTTAGAGCAGATCTGCATGAGCAAAGATTTAGGAACAAAACAAGCAGACACAAAATGCTCATGGAACTGCTATTTGCTATAAAGCCAGTTTTTGAACAGGACAGAACAGTGTTCTGATTTTCATAAAGGAAACAAGAAGCAGCTGTGTGCAGTACAACAGTCCTAATAAACAGTCACATGAATGCTGCAGTGAAGAAAGCAGGTAATACAAATACTTTAAATTAAGGACAACTTTTTCCCCTAGTGTGGAAACTTCTGCCTCCAGAATATTTATGGAATGGGAAAACTTATCTTAATCTCCTGATCTGTGGCAGGCTTACAACATTCCATCAGCAGAACTACTGAGACTTTGAAAGAAAAAAGCCTGGGTGTATGAAAGGGCCACTGCTTGCTTTGCAATTTAGGTTGAAAAGTTAAAGTAACCCTCTTCTTCCAATTAATTCCTTAAATTTATAGCAGGCATTATTAAGGAAGGCAGTCCTCACAATATTATCTAAGTTTCAAGCAGCTGGTGGTTTTACTGCTTTCTGGTAGTCCATTTGGTCCGTTCATGCTCTCTAAACATAATTTTCTGAGAATTGTTTTGTTTTTAGCTATTATGGTAAAAAGCTCATCGAGCACAAATCCATAGAAATTAATCCACTGTAAGCATACTGCAAGAGTGAAACTGCAGCATTTAAGAAATGCAGTATCAAGGTAAATGAATATTTTAATTGCATCTTGAGCAGAGATTTTTTTTAGCTCATCCAATGTAAGAGATGCTGGTAAGGGAGAATGTCACAGAAAGAAATAATCATGCCAGTGGGGTACCACTTCACTACTTGGCCTTATGAAGTAAAGGACAATACATTTTCTTATTGCAAACCTCATGTACAATGCAGAACACAAGTTGGGAGGGAGAGAGGAAAACTGAATACTGGACTGGAATAGTCTTTCAAGGGTGGGAGTGTTAGTGTCCAACAGGAGACACATTAGATACAGCTTTAGTGTAAGTGGTCAAGTAAATAATTAGCATGTTTATCATATCAGGGGATCGTTATACCAGACTGGAAGAAAAACATGGTGTTGGTTGTACTAACCATTCATAAGGGGTGATACCTTAGAAAACTAACATGATTCCAATAATATGCACCATGAGCAAGTACAAAATATAGAAAATGGATCACTGACTAGTAAACGGCTCACTGTGCTTTAAAATATATTTACATACTCTTAATTTTACTACTTCTAAAAATGTTGCATAGGTTCTTTGACTGCATGTATTAAGTACCTAGACCTTAGGGTTTTCATTGCTGTTGGGGTGGGAGATGTGAAAAACAGCACTTAAAAGGTTTCACACATTTCAGTGGCATATTTTTAAACAGAGCACCCAGCCTGGACCAGTCATATCCCCTAATACAACTGAGGTATTAAGAGCGGTGTTGGTCACATGGAATCTTCATCACCAGTCCTCAAACGTTGTTGTTAAAAATCTATCATCATTCAGCAACTGATCTTGGCTTAACATAGTCTGGAAAAAAACAAACCATAGTAGACTTCATAAATCACAGATGTATGTGATTAGATCCTCTACAGATTTAGCTGAGATTCACATGGGCATACTCTACAGATTTAGCTGAGATTCACATGGGCTTATTTAAGATAATTATTATATATAACACACAGTTTACTAACCTAATTGGAAACAGTAGAAGCTAGTTGCACACAAGTAATTTGCTTAGCTATTTCATTTGCTTTCAGGCAAATTTAATCCCTGAAATTTATAGTGTTTATAGTGTGTGGAATTAAGGTCATGCATAGTATAAGCAACAAGACTTTGACTTTTGAGAATGTCAGGTGTATGGAGAAATAGATGTAACTGCTCAACAAATAAAGCAGTGGCTCCTATCCTTTACTGGCATTTGTACATAACTAATAGTCTTGGAAAGCTAGTTCAGCAAATGTTGCAATGCAGACTGGGATCAAAAGGCAATTGCGGCATGCATTAAACACTCTTCCCTATGCAGATAATCCCTTTCTGCATTTGACTTGTTTTGCAAAATGCGTGTAATAACCTAAAGTCTTCTTCTCATACGACTGAAAATTTGCTTAAGTCATTAGGAAAGATAAATTCATTTTGCATGCAATCTACAAAGATATAAATATTTCCATTCCAGGCCTTAAAATGTAAATTTACTTAGGTCAAATTTGTGTTTTTAATTGAACTCCATAATATAGTCTTACTTATAGGAGTTTTAACTATAAATGAATATAAATGAACATGAGTAATTAACATATCAATACACCTCATCTCAGTTTTGAATTTGCGCATACGATGAGGTTATGAATGACAAATTAGTACTTACTGTGAGGTTGTTTATTCCTTGAGAAAGTTCCCCTATTTGCATTACTGTTCCTTCTGAATGTTCCATCTGTAAAACCATTCAGCTTGATGAAATTAAAACAGCTAATTCAAACACTACATGCTTTATATTTTCTGAACCATTGTGCATATACAAGAGGTGCCTTTATCTTCAGAAAAAAATAGGTTTAATTATATTACTATCTTCAAAGTCATTTTTCTGAATGTCATTCTTGTCCGACTTTAAATTTCATTTTTTTAAAAGCAACATTAGAATCTGAGTATTTGAACTATTTCTAAACTGCACATTAGCCATACTCAGAGTAATCGACACCTTTCCATTGAATATAGTCTGTTAATAGGATAGCAGGGCCAAAAATATTAAATTTGAGGCAATTCATTTTACAATAACGTAACTAAAAAAATAAATAAATCCAAGGGGTTTGCCTTATTCATAATTTGGGTGCTATTCTACATTTTCAGAACAAAAGCCGTTTTCCATCAGTCAAGAGCATTTCAAGATGCATACATGCAGGTTCAACTATTCAGCATGCTGCCATCATAATTGGGAAAAAAAAGGTTGTTCGTGCTTTGAACGTATTCAGTGATGTCAGTGATTTCACAAACCTGTCTATATACTTCATATTGAGATCCATCATTTTGGCACGTTCATTTTTAAAATTAGAATGATTCCCCCTCCACTACTGCCTGTAAATTTAAGCTATTAGAAACTCAAATTACCAGTAAGTCTGTATTAGGCTTTGCAACTTTTCCTTGCCTTACACACATACAGCCCTCTGATTCAGTTGCTCTCAGTTTATGGCAGACAGCCTCTTCACCTGCAAATTCAAGCTTGCCTGATTATTATAACAAAGAGCCCAAACCTTAAAAATGTGATTTGCAAAACCCGCATTGTGTGTGTGTGTGTGTGTGTGTGTATATATATATATATATATATATATGGGGGGATGACGACTGGTGGAATCCAACCAAATTTCTTTCTTTAATCAACAATTCCATGTGTTTGATGCGACTCTCTTCACACCTGCCTTTGCATACGCAGTGCTTCCACCTAAATGCAGGGGAGCCTTCATTTGCGCAACAGATCTCTTGTGTATGCAAGGAACCACTGATACTTTGAAAACCAATAAATTTTTTAAAAAGAAAGAAAATATTAAGGTACAGTACACATATGTTACCCACCAACAACACTGTACAATGCACAAAATACGTCTCAAAGGGAAATACCCAGTTTCAAGGTGCTGAACACGAA